CGTTCAGGTATATTACATCCAATCTTTTGTGGTAATATTCTATACAAAGCACAAAAATGTCGTCATTCGCCTCAAAAGCTAACCAAACCTTTAAACAGACTTATTCAGAAGGGATATAGTTACGATACTGTTTTTGAAATTAATATTGGTTCACTCATAGGGTCTTTGTATCGGGAATAAATACATTTATTCTAAAACCAGTTGTTGGCATGATACGGGTTATGTGCTTCTAGTATATTTTATGATGGTATGATACTAAACCCCTTACGGGAGGGATTGTGCTTGATTTTCATATGATGAAGACATAATCTTTCAATCAGTTTAATTGAGGTCTGGAGCTGGCATGTCAGTAACTGCTAGTAGTCCTTTGTTAATTTATGTATCATTGTCATTTTGCTTAGTTTGTTCTGTTAACTATTCTAACATCGGACTCTGACTTATTTTAAACTGAATTTTACTGTGCGTATTGCTGTGTGTTTGTTTATTCTACATTGGCAAGAGGTATAGGGGGAGGGTTGAGATCTCACAAAACATGTTTAAACCCGCCGCATTTTTGCGTTTGTCCCAAGTCAGGAGGCTCTGGCCTTTAATTGTTAGTCTTGTATGCATGTTTTTTTTTAATTGTTTTTCTTTTATATGTTTCGGAGTTAAGTGTGACTTCCATTTTCGCTTAACTAGTACACATTTTTGTATAGGGGCCAACTGAAGCCCGCCTCCGGTGCGGGATTTTCTCGCTTTGTTTAAAACCCATTGGTGGCCTTGTGCCGTTTTCTGCTCTTTGGTCGGGTTGTTGTCTTTTTGACACATTCCCCGTTTCCATTCTCTATTTTATAGTGTAAAAAGTAGAGAAGTCAAATGTTGTTTTTAAACTATTGCAAGATGAAAGAGGCTTGGAGTATATACATTTTAACCGATCTTTTGATTTGTGTCGTATCTACATTCCGATTCATACCAAACCTGGAGTAGGTGGTTTCTTATAAGCTCTGAAGCCTGTATGTGATAGCTGATAAAATAGATGTTGGTAATTAAAAAAAAAAAGGTTTCGTGGAGCATTTGGCAGACCCAGCAATTAAAATAATAGCTAAGGAAGCCTGGTCTTTTATAAAATAGGATATTGTCACAATCACCCACTGATTCTTGTTTTTTTCCTTGTCATTTTAAGGAAGACGCGAGGCCTTCTTACATGTCTTCGATTATGGTTCAGAAGTTGAAATGTCACAAATACCTGAGATAACTATACTCAGTTATAGCAAGGATTTATATAGTAAATATATATATAAATCACCGGTTGTAGTACCCGTTGAAAGTTTAGTATTTTGATAATACTGTCATATCCAACTAAGTAAGACAACACGTGACTTTGGTGACGTAGCGAGACGCCATTTTGTGTCATTTTGTCCCATGAAAAATGCATAGGTGCTTCAATAAAGTTCAATTTTCTAATTAATCTTACCCGTTTTTATACGACCGCAAAAAAATTGCGTTTGTATGTTGCTATCATGTCGTCGTCGTCGTCGGCGTCCGAAGACATTTGGTTTCCGGACAATAACTTTAGTATAAATGAATGGATCTCTATGAAAATTAACCACAAGGTTCAATAGCACTTAAGGAAGGTTTGGATTGATTTTGGGGGTTATGGTCCCAACTGTTTAGGAATTAGGGTGCAAAAAGGGGCCAAAAAAGGCATTTTTCTAGTTTCCGGACAATAACTTGTGTATAAGTGTATGGATCTCTATGAAATTGTACCACAAGGTTCCATACCACAAAGGGAAGGTTGGGTTTGACTTGACTTTGGGGATTATGGCTCAAACCGTTCAGGAATAAGGGGCAACAAGGGGGGGGGGGGAGGAACAAGGTTCGTCTGGTTTCCGGACAAATACTTAAGTTGGGGTCGATTTTGTGGGTTGTGGCTTTAATCGTTAAGAAACTAGAGGCCAAATAGGGGCCAAAAACAAGACTTTTCTAATACTGGCTAAGCTGGTTCTAACATAAATTATTTCTGATCTATACAAAGAAACAACAAATAATGATATGGCAGGAGATACACACCAAACAGGGTGGGTAAATTATTATATTTAGTTTGTAAACAGATTTACTAAGTATTGCGCAACAGCAAAGTATTGTACAACAGCAAGAAATCTTCAATTAAAAATAAATACAAATCTTTTAACCAATTTCAATGAGGATTAATTTAAAGTCTTGAATTGTTTGAGGTTTTTACCATGTATTACTATATTGGATATTTGGACATTTTTAAATAGGTCTACATTGAGGTCCAAAGGGTCCAAAATTAGACTTTGTTTGATTTCATCAAAAACTGAATTCTTGTGGTTCTATGATATGCTGAGTCTAACTGTGCATTCAGATTTTTAATTTTGGGCCCTGTTTTCAAATTAGTCCATATTAAGTTTAATTTTTGATTAAATACGTCCCTGGAGATTCGTAAAAATCGTACTTTTTCTGGTCATTTCCCCGTTGACTCAATGGTAAATCTAGGGACCCCATGTCTACTTGTACATAATATTCACAAATTCCGTAGATAAAAGTAATAATTTGCAGTTATATTGAACATATTAACACATATATCTAGCAAAACAGGCTACTTTTCAAAGTTGAAATCGAGGGGAAATTACGTCCCACGTCGATTTTAAAAAGTGAATTTTCGGGATTTTTCAAAATGGCGGATGTGTTTGAAAGTGTCGCATGTATTTTTAAACATCGTATATTTTTCATGCAGAATGTGTGCTGTTTTTGGTGGAAGAAGACTTCAAGTCTTCTGAAAGCCTTTACTGCCGGTTGTAAAATCATTGAACCGTCACCAGGACATATGCCGTATCCCTTTCTGTGCTTTACAATTTCATAACAACTTCCGTGCCATATCTTGACACCGATGTTTACACATGATCTAAGCATCTGCATGACGGATACCATTTCGAAAGTACGTAGTTTTCATGTCGGTCATTGTCGGAATGTCCCCAATGATTGCCTTTATTGCCTTAATACGTTTCAAAGTTTTAGAAGTGATAAAAAACGGGATTTAACAACTGAATAGTCCATCTCTTTAACGTTATTCGTCATTAAGGTACACACAAAAATGACACATTATCGAGGCTCGAGTACGGAACCAGTAATTCGTTGCTGTCAATAGTTTTATTTTCATGAAAAGTTTCAGAAAAGGGCTGTGTGACTCCTGGCGGAAAATGCCATTCCCATCCTCATACTTTTGTGTAAAAATATTAGATGAAAATCAAATATGATATATGGGTCAAGCACTTTAAATGAACGGGTTTGAAATGCTAAAAGAGTCAAGCGCACACGTGATTCTGTCAACTGACGGTGCATCGTTTGATGTGTAAAACACCAGCAGATTCACGTGTGCGCTTGACTCTAAATTATCGCAATAACATAGCAAGGTCATCACCTGACATGACCGGTCAATCCTTGGCCTGACACATATCTGCATTGGATATATTTAGAATTTTTCAATATAAGTTTATAATGAAAAACCCTAATTTAAGCAAACTTGACTAAAATCTTGGTGGCCATTTTTTCTTAAAGTTAACTATCTGCCTTTGACAGAAAACTTTCAAGTGAAACCAAATCAATTACTGTTATAATTGCTTGGCGAAATTGCATTGTATCAAATTGACCATGCTGAGACGAATGTATGGAATTTAGTTATAGAAAATTTAATTTGAATCAACAGTATTTGCAGATTTTTATGTTAAGTATAGTGAGTTTTGGTTGAGTTATGAGTAGTATTATTTTTGGAAGAAAAAAATACGTCGAAAGCAATAATGGGACAAAGCAGGCTGGGTTGGTGGGCTGCTTTTATGGTAATTCAAGTTACCTTTTATGCATCTTCTTCCACCTCAGAGCAATCAGCTCTTTGGTTGTTATTTTCTTCATTGATATTCTGATATGTTTGATTTCTTAAAAATCAAGTGTGAAGTGAAAAAAAAAGTTACCACTAAAATTTATAAGAAAAATATTTTTTATTTTCTTAAACATTTTTTCCCTTTTCTCTGTATAATTTATCTTTATATAGAAAAATAATACATTCTGTGGAGAAAAAAAATGTTTTCGTCTCGAGAGAAAAAAAAAAACATGTCCAACAATAAATAAATGTTCCGTACCTATCAAAGTTAATATCCCTTTTAAGTTTCTATGACCAATATGACCAAAATACGATCAGGTTAACTCAGATTTAGGTTATAATGTTACATAACAACAAATTGTCAGGCAGTGGAAAGGAATTGTGTCAAACCAAAAGCCATCAGGTGACATTAACTTCCTGTGTACACACGTATTTCCAAAGTTTAGTTTTAGTGATATATAAAAGTTTCTAAATTGTACAAATATATAATTCTCTTTACCATGTACACTACCGAAGAAATATATATCACAAAGAACTTTAAGAAAATATGAATATTATGAAATAGTCTTCGATAAGTTAATTTTTGCATAAAAAAAAATAAAGAATATAGTGATTCGCGATAATTGTTTAAAAAAAATACTCTATAATTCAAATTTTATATTTGATAGATTTTTTTATTTCACAGAAAAATAACGAGACTTCATTGCATATGATTTTTGTCCTTTATTTTTTTAATTCAATGTTTTAATCAATATCCAGGCATATAAAAAAACAATATTGAAATGTTAACTTGTGTACAAAAAATATGTTATTGCATACATTTCAACATTGTATACCCACCTATATTTTCGACAGAGTTATCGGTCCTGAATAGGACTGATATAGTTGGGTTTAGCAGCACAGCACATCACACCATAAGTATTTTGAACTTTATTTTTATCAAAGCTTTCGCTTGAAACTCGTTGATTTAGAGGGAGAATATGAAAAATATAATCAAGAGGAGGTTACTTTTTCGTTTATAAAGTGTTGAGGTAAGGCAAGCTTTTGTAGAAGCTTATACTTGAAACATAAAGTCATTCAAGCATAAAATTTGGTCACATGATCATAATTGCCATAGTGATTGGGTTGTATCCGCCGCCATGATTGTTATGATTTTCAACATACCATGTGGAAAATGTCTTCTACTGTAATTGGATATTAAGATCGAGTACTGAATGTGACGAACAAAAATATGATGCATATAAAACAGCAGTTCGAAGACAGATATGTAGATGACAATGAGGAAGGGGAATCTGGTTCGGAAGAATCAGAATCAAGTGAAATCGAAAGACTTGATACTGCAACTCCAGTTGAATCCTATGACAATAATCCTACAGAAACGCCCACTGAAAGAGGAATAGCAAAAACAAAAAAGGCCGAGGAGTTGATATTAAAGATTATCGGTCAAACTAAAGCCCTAGGCTCAAACACTTTAGATCTAGGTTCAAAGGGTGTGCGGCAAATTCCCAACGAACTATTAGAATTATCTCAATTAGAGGTAATTATAGCAGTACACAATTTCTCCTCAATTACTCAGTTAGAAGATAAGAATACTCTAGATCACAAACTATTTCAATGCCTTATATCAGTTCCCAATATTCATTAAAAATAATCTTAAATTGTCTGCTAAAAATCGTCATGATTATAGGAGGAAAACGTATTACTCTAATTTATTAAAATGATTGAAAGTATTAGCACAGTTTCACTGAATCCCATACTGGATTAGGTATACAAATGTGTCTTTATCTTGTGCATTCAAGTAGAGTCAAATCGAAAAGAATGACAAAATCAATTCAACAAGGTCTAGCACAAAAAAATATCTACTTGAAACAACAACAAAGGGAAAAAACGTGATTTTCACTCATGTAGCCCCATTTTAGCACATGAATATATATATAACTTGAGGATATAAATTCTCAAGTCTAGCAAACAAGAAGTATTTTATCTCTACCTGTAATTGTTGCAGAATTGTAAGTTCTGTTGGCCATACATTTTTTATACAGTACTCACAAAGTGGTTTTGATAAAAAAAATCACCCTTGGTAATAGTGGTGTTTTTGGTACATTTTATAGCAAATAAGCTTCATACATAATCAAAATGACATTGAATTAATGCAGTACACAAAGTTTTTCTAGTTTTTTGTAACATTCTTTATACATGTATACATAGTCATGGATTTGTATACAAATCCTTGATAAAGTTAAGCCTCTAATTGGCCTTCTTTGTTATATCTGATAATCAACAATCTGTTCACCAGATACAAAATTTGAAATCCTAAATATTTCACATTTGTTTTACCGGTACTCAAAATTTGTCATCACATTAAAAAATTACAATACTTATAGAAAAATAACTTTATAAATATTATTACATTTTCTCTTTGGTCCAGATAAAATGTTTTCAGTTTTAAAACAGATAAGATGTTATCCAAAAGCAAAATTTAACCTGTTTATGCATAAGAAATGAATTTTTATACGACCGCAATATTTTGCGGTCGTATATTGGTATGACGTTGGGGTCTGCGTCGTCGTAGTCCGAAGACACATTGGTTTTCGCACTCTAACTTTAGTTTAAGTGAATGGATCTCTATGAAATTTTACCATAAGGTTCAATACCACAAAAGGAAGGTTGGGATTGATTTTGGGGGTTATGGTACCAACAGTTAAGGAATTAGGGGCCAAAAATAAGCATTTCTCTAGTTTCCAGACAATAACTTGTGTTCAAGTGTATGGATCTCTCTGAAATTGTACTGCAAGGTACCATACCACAAAGGAAAGACTGGGATTGATTTTGGGGGTGATTGCCTCAAAATTTTAGGAATTAGGGGCCAAAAAGGGGCAAAAAACAAGCATTTTTCTAGTTTCAGGACAATAACTTGTGTGTAAGTGTATGGATCTTTATGAAATTGTACTACAAGGTTCCATAACACAAAGGGAAAGCTGGCTTTGAGTTTGGGGGTAATTGTCCTAAATGTTTAGGAATTTGAGGCCAAAAAACAAGCAATTTTCTAGTTACCAGACAATAACTTGTGTTCAAGTGTATGGATCTCTCTGAAATTGTACTGCAAGGTACCATACCACAAAGGGAAGGCTGGGATTGAGTTTGGGGGTGATGAATCATAAGGGGGTTCAAAAAATTTTGGGGGGGGTTTCCTTTTTTTTCTTTAAAATTTTCCATTTTAAATTGGTTATTTCTGATTTATATATAAAAGCAAATAATAATGATATGGTTTGAATAGGTAAATTATTTTTTTAAGTTCTAAGACCACATTCATTCTGTGCCAGAAACCTATGCTGTGTCAAATATTTTATCACAATCCAAATTCAGAGCTGTATCAAGCTTGAATGTTGTGTCCATACTTGCCCCAACTGTTCAGGGTTCGACCTCTGCGGTCGTATCAAGCTGTGCAGCGGAGCATTTTATTTATATTATCTGAGTAGTACACAAAAGGGGATTTAGTTAAAAGTTAATTAATCTTTATGAGTTGAATGCTGTTGATTGTGGAATTCACTTTGAAATCCCAATTCCTTTCTGAATATTCAATGGTTGGTATCTGATAGGGTCATAAATCAGAGTGTTGCATAGAAGCATAGAATGAACTATGAAATGCATTTGTAAATGAGAGGCATTATCATTGATGATTCTGGAGATCTTATTTTTACCTGTGTTGCCAAAGGCAAATCAGGTTAGTAACCGCATTTGTTTGTATTTTTGTTATATTTATTTTACTTTTTTCTTGACTTCTATGAAAGGGAATGATTTAATATTTGATCCTCAGTTTTATAATGTTGAGTTGTAGTGAGCAAGAAATTTTTACATCTGGGATGTATCCACTTCCTGTTTGCCAATAGTTTGAAATTTTACAACAGTGATTGTACAAAGATGATTTTTGTCTAGAGTTTTCTTGGCTTCAATGAAAAGGAATGATCAGTTATGCTCCCATAAACATGTAACCTCAATCAATTGCATGCAGCAACACAGATCAGGACTCAGTATATAGCCACTTCCTCTTGCTCCTATTAAGGGAATGATTTAAACATTTGGTCTGCAGCTTGGTAGTATTAGGTTGTAGCGAGTTACCAATTTTCACAACAGTTGTTTAGCCACTTCCTGTTTGCTGATAGTTTAAGAATTTACAACAGTGATTGTACAAGGAAGATTTTCGTCAAAGTTTCTTGGCTTCAGTGAAAGGGAATGATCAGTTATGCTCCAGTATACATATTACCTCAATCATTTGCATGCTTGGATGCAGGTCCAGACCAGGTATTCACTATTGTTTTTCTAGTTCTAACTTTTGTTCTTTTCATTTGATGAATCTTCTTGACACTGGGACGTTGTCTGAAAATCACCAACATGCCTTACAGTGTATTTTTGGTATTTATTGGGAGTCATAAATCTTATGATTTGTTTATTACAATGTTGACAAAATTTATTTTGTACATTTTCAGTACCTGTATTTGGAAGGGAATGAGTTATGCAGTCTGCCTGATGATTTCTTTGATAAGCTTCCTAACCTTGTGTGGTTGGACATAAGAAGAAATGGATTGCTACGTTTACCAAGTGTTTACACTGGAAGACATCAAAATCTTAGAAATCTTCTGTTGGAAGGAAACAATTTACGTAGTTTGCCATTAGAATTGGGTAAGAAAGATTTTTTCAGATTCATCATTTCATGATAATCTTTTTTTATACTAGAGATTAATTTCCATAAGTACATGATTAATATCAATATTTAAGTTTTGTTGCTTTTTATACATGAGGGACAGATAATGATGTTTACATTGAAAAAAAAGAAATGGCTTACATGTAGCTCCTTCATTTACTTCAACAACCAAAACACCACATAAACTAAATGAAAATTATTGTTCAATACTCATGATATTTCGTACTATAAACTACAGTAATTTTAAGAGAAATACATGTATGTTCTAGCTAGGTTTAACCACAAAATTTATTCATGCAACCCTTATAATTAAGTTTAGAAAATTGTACATGTAATAGTATGATTTTTCTTATTTTTTTACAGGTTTAATCAAATCATTAAATGGACTGAATATCAGTGGCAATCCAATAGAGTTTCCTCCAGGGGAGATAATAGAGAAAGGAACTAATGAAATTCTCAAATTTCTCAGAGAAATGCTTCTTGCCAAGTCTCAGGGGCGTCTCACAACTAGTCTAAATGGGGGTATGTGTACTTTTTTTTCTTTTCTTGTTGCAGTAAGTATGAATTTAACATTAGTTATAAATCTGTATTAATGTTCATGTAACTGTTTCTGAACAACCATTGTATGATTTATTGTTTATAAAAATGCTATTACAAATGGGAAAAAGACTAAAGAATGGTAAAGGCAATATTTGGTGTGTGTTTATTCAAATTCTGAAGGTATTTTATAATTATGTTGATCAGAATAAATTTAGGGCTTATTTCAGGACATAGATTTATATTATATGAATCTTTATTTTTGATTTATTTCATTGATTAATGATATGCAATGCATTTAAAGAAAGAATAAGATATCTGAAATTTGAATAAACTTTGACAATAAAAGGACATGAGTGTCACTGATGTATACGGTAGTTTCTAATATGACATGAAGAAATTTCTTGTACACCTGTTTGGACTATTTTCTTGCAACTGCTGGTCTTTAACAGTACTAACACAGTGAACTATAAAAATGTATTTTATCATGACGGTTTTATCCCTTCCTGTCTATTTTTCAGGGTACACAAATGAAGCAGGCAATGATAATTTTTAGTGGCAGGTCATAAATGTTATGATGGAACAAACAAGATGTTCCAATGTAATCAATTTAAACAGCCAGGACATATTATAATGGCAGATAGTTACATGGCCATGCCCCTACATGTATATAGGAGGGTCCGAAAATGAAAGGGGGGGTCTTCGTATCTGTATTCTTTAATTTACCTTAAGTGAGGTGACATGTAATAAGAATAACATGAATTCTACATGGGCAGTATTAGTTTTCTTCAAAACATTTTTTCATAGCAATTCTTTGTGAGATTTAAACAAAACTTACCAGTTGGTTTGAGTGTAAAATATCATGATTATTTTACAGGAGAAAATGGGGAGGACAGTAGTAGTAGCTCAGAGGACTGGCAGGATGAGAGAGATTTACGAGACTGGGCTAAGATACAACATAGATCTTTGTCCATGGAGGATAATAAAAGTACTACAACAAAATCTTCAGAATTTGGACTGGTACCTCATTCTGCAGAGCTACATAGACCAGTTAGTTATACAGAAATAAAACAAGAAAAAACAGATAAAATAATGAAAGCAGGTGCCATGGGAACAGTTGATAGGTGAGTCTTGTTAAAACAAAAAAAAACATGTGTCTTGTATATAGCAGAAATTGTTCTAATCACATGAACTTCTATCAGTTTATACAGGGCTCACACTACTGGGCAGTTGGGGCAAAAAGTCACTGTGGTCTCTCTGCTTTTCATAACCTCCACATGCAATATTTAGTCGCCAGGGGTGTTCACAATAGTTTCTTTCATCATAGGCAGTTTTCCATTTTTACCAAGTTGATTAAAGTCCTTTTTTATTTGTAAATAAAGAAATTCAAAGATAAAGATGATTAATTTTTGAAACCATTGACTAAGTAGATTGATGTTATGATATTTCAAAGAAACAATTAATATGCAAACAAATCGAATTATTAGGGATTAAAAAGAAAAGTTATGATTGAATTTAATGGAAATGGTTTGATTGTATATAGCTGTATGTTTAAATAATACTAAATTGTTTAAGAACAATTTCTTATTAGAATCCAGTTTGTTTTATTTTATCTGGTAATCTAATTGTGAAAACTACATGTATACATTTTATTCAAGGAGGCCTAAAAGTGGTAAAATTAGACCTAAAAGTAGTCCACAAAGGTATTTTTATCAAAGTAACATGGCTTATAGCATATCCAGAATGCTTGGAGGAAAATGCATGACCGTAAATATCCATGCTTGCTTTTAAATAATCTTAAGAAAAAATGGTTGTTAGAAATTAGATTACATATGTAAATTTTCATATGAGCATATCTCATAAATATGTTGCATGTTCTATTCTTATTGGCTTAAAGATTGCTTACCTTTCATGCATGCCTAAATCTTGAATCATGTGACCAAACATTAATGTAAAATAATACTGATAATTGATAAGCCTTTTGGTTTCATGTGATTTTCAGGCTTAATACCTTAACACAAAGTGTAGATAGGTAAGAACAGAGTGATATATTACTAATGTTTTCAACACACAACATTTAACTAACACAAATCAACATTTATAAGGATTTTATTTCCTACACACAACATTTAACACAAATCAATATTTATTAAGGATTTTATTTCCTACACATAACATTTAACGCAAATCAACATATATAAGGATTTTATTTCCTACACATACATGTAACATTTAACTAACACAAATCAGCATTTATAAGGATTTTATTTCCTACACACAACATTTAACACAAATCAATATATATAAGGATTTTATAACACTTGCAATGTTTGAGTACATTCAATAACACATGAGGGCACTTACTTTCCTTCATTCTCAATTGTCAATGCACATTTGTTTCTCACTATAGGTTGAAGACGTTAAATCGCTTCAATTCTTTGAAAGATTGAGAAATTTTTAGAAATGGGGACATTTTAGAGTCTTTTTGCATTGGGATTCTTGAGATATTTCTATCAAACTTTTTCAGGTAAAACTTCTTGTAATTGACTTTTAAAGATCTTATTTTCAACATTAAAATTAAAACAGGTGTTTAGCAAATTAAGTTGAATTACATGTTTTAAAGCTTGAACACTAAAAAAACCAAATTCACAAACATTAAATCCCAATGCCCAGAACAGTAGAAAAATTACTAGCAAGAGATTTATTTCAAAAGAGGAGGTTTTGATCTCATCATCAGCAGACAGGTCTTTTAGAGACACTTTTATTTCTTTTAATTAAAGTGAAGCTCCAACAGATATTACCACCACACATATGCTGTTGATAGAAAGATAAATAGTTGTCTCTACCAAAGAGTCTTTTTATATACAGTACTCAGGGAAGATTTATGCATGTTTTTTTGCAATCATTATACTAGCTACAACTCGACAGCTTTATTATCTTCTTCAGTTTTGTTACAGTGACTCATTTTATCACATTTACTGAAATCGTCTTCAGATACAGTTACAATTTGTATGCATGTTAAACTGTTATGCTGTTGGATATTGTAAGGAAGTTAGTAGAGGAAAAGTATTGTTCATTAGTGTTAATAAAATGTAGGTGGTAAGCCCATAGGACTGAGGCTTAAATATAGTACTCCTGGACAAAATTATTACGGAATAAGCCACGATTTCTGTTAAATCAATTGTTAAATCTGCTGGAGTTTTTGGAAATTTTTGTAATCTGCTTGTATTATATGTTTTAAGAAATTCTAAAAATAATAAAATTATAAAAAGTAAGATTTTGAAAAAATATAAATTATTGTTGCTTGTCTTTGTGTATTGTATTTTTGGGTCACACCAGTTGAAAGGTATAAATTTAGGAACTTTGTCACCTTACATCAAACCACTTTTGTAATTACAAATGTATGATGACAATTTTCATGCTACTTTTCTTCACTCAAATGAAATTTGGCTTCTATATAAATTAACAGCTTTAATGAATATATTTTGTTTAGTAATACAGTACAGTTTAGGGAATGAAGTGACCTTTTTATTCATAAATTTCCTATGTTAAAAGTTTTCAATACTTCAAAAGTTGTTTTGGTAGAGTGCGCTCTAAAATATTTTTTATCAAAATTGTACAATACAAACTATTTTAAAGTATATAAATTGATTTGTATTTTATTCATAAATACATTTATACATAGGGGTCTTATTTCCAACAGAAGAAATGATTCTAGTAGTTACTTACTCACAAGACAGAGTACATTTACTAGTAGACAAAACACTGTCAGGTAAAGTGTGAAAAATTATAAAGTGTGAAGTCATAAAGTGTGAGATTATAAAGTGTGAAATGCTGCAGTGCATGTGCATCTATAAAGTGTGAACTGCTGGCAAAGGGTATATTATTTCTGCTGAATGATGTATTATTTTGTTTAAAGTAATGCGGTATGAAGATTAATGAAATGGATTTTGAATTGAATAATGTATTGTGATACCTGGTGTGAATAACTGATGTTGGAATTCTGTTTATTGCTGCATTATGATGTTTTGTGAAACTTATATACTGCTGCCGTAGGAATATTAAAAACTGTTATAAGTGTTTCAAAAATAGTATAACTGTAAAATGTACTGGTCATGGTATATTTAGTACATGTAGTTTGTAAGATTCTAATGCTAGCTTGGTGGATAGGTATTGGATAAATTAAAAATTTTGCAGGAACATGTACATGTATATATATTTCTCTAATTCTTCGTCAATTTATCCCTTTCTGCACCCATTGTATAAAAAAAAAATTAATCAACGTGTGGTTCGTTTGATCTCAGTTCTTCATTGGTATTAATCCGATTATGACGTCGATTTTTCTTGCTTTCCTCTAAATTTCCTATTGTGACGGCATGAAAAAAGGCGACCATGCCTGATGACGTCACATAGAAAGAACACATCTTTTTGCAGATCATTCGAAAGGAAGGAATAAGTTTGCCTGCTTATTGTTTGAAAATCATTAGAGAAACAGATTCCACCACCAAATCTCGTGTGATACAATATTTATCCACTCTCGACAGTTAAATTTTAAATATTTAAAACGCTCGGCGAGCCTCGCGTTTTAAATTTGAAAATTTAACTGTCTCGAGTGGATAAATATCGTATCACACTCGATGCAGTGGTAGAATCTATATTTATATGAGTATGAGTATTTATATGAGTGTACATTGTTTTTCAATTTATTGTTCAGTGTAGAACTTCAACATTTTAGCCTAAATACGCACATTCAAGCTTAAGGTTGATTCTGTCAAACTCACTCTGTAATATGAATGACTATTTTCTTCTATTTACTTCTTTCTTTTTCTATCTTTCATCTTACTTTTTTTCTCTACTTTTGTTCATAGCTTTCACTGCCTCAATGAAAGAAACAAAGTAAAGACTCACTTTCCACCCATCCGTTTTATAATCTCTCACAGAAATCATCAGATAGGTGACCACAGGTTTGGAATTTTATTTATTTATTTATTTTATTCCTACATGTGTATTTCTATCTATTTTGTTTCTGTCTTCTTTTCAGTGTTTTTGATTTTTAGTCTTATCAGTTTATTAATTACATCTTACCTATAACATTCTTTCTATATTGAGTATATGATAGAAATTGCCTATTTGTGTGCTTCTTGCTATGTTATTGAGAAATCTCTCTATCTCTGTCCCTATTCATTTATATGGGTGTGTCATTCTTTTTATTCTTTCTATGATTTTTTATAGCACTGAAGTTAAGGTTATGCCTACATGTATACATGTTGTGCTCTCTCAAAGAAATACTCCAGACAATTTAAGTTTTGGATTTTGTCTCACCTTTGTTAAGGTGACGGTACATTAGACTTTAAGGTATTATATTTTTCTTGTGGCAATGGTTGTGGTGATTATACCTTTATATCTTGCACCCAACTTTCACTTTTTCTGAATAGTGTTTTGCGGACTGTTGTTTGTATTTTCATTGTTATTCTTTAAAATTTCTGGTCCTGATTTTCTCTGTTTTGTTTTTCATTTCTATTCTTTCTGGTCATCTCTCAGCCCTGTTTTGTTTTGATTGGTGGATTTTGATATCATCTTTCTTTTATTTTCACTATTCAAGTATGAATGATGATCCTTGTTAGCTCATCATTGCCTTTTGTCCTTGACATTTTCTTCACAGTCAACTAGTCAGGTTAAATTTTCAGGGTTAGTTCTATTTCTCATTAACTGTCCTTGATAGTATCATAGTACTATCACTCGTAGATCAATATCGATTTATTAGTTGATTCAATGATTGTTGGTGTTGAACGCCACTTTCAGCACTACTACCTATCTTGTGGTGGCCATTAACTATTGGTGGGGGAAGCCTGAGTGCATGAAGGAAACCACGAACTTCAGCAGGAAAACTGGCATTCTTAGTTAATTAGGATTGGAGTCCAACACACCTGCCACAGGCAGAGTTCAACCTCAGCATAGACAGGCTAGCTATTGCTGTAGATAAACTACTTTGACTTCTCAGCCACAGAGGCCCCCTTTCATTTAATTGGTATTGCTAAAAGGTACATGTTTCATTTGATTTGATGTGAACTTGGTATGAAATCAATATGAAACTTCATTAATGATTAATGAAATATTCAAAGGTCCAAAGGATAATCAGACCCTAATTTTATGGTTGAATAATCATGATTCTCTGATCAGGTTTAAGTACAATGAGCTTTATTTTTCACTTCATTTTTGATGATTTGAAAAACATAATTATAATCTCCTGGACTTGTCATTTATGATTTTTCTTTATGTGTCTTCTTTCTTGCTACTTCATCTTATTGTCTATCTCTTTGTTTTCTAACTTTATCCTCTGTGTTTTCTCTCTATCTTTGTTCAGCTTCCATCAGGCTCTTATAAAACATGGGCAACAACATCAGATGATACCTCTGATTGAAATAAAGATCATCCAGAAAAGACTTACAAAGCCACATGTTCCAGAGCATGAGAGGTTTGATTTTGTTTTTATTTTTACTGCAAGAGGATTGAACAATTACTTATTTTTTTCTTGTCCTAAATCTTCAGTCTTGTTGATATCTCCAGATTTTACCAGGAAACTTGAGTTTCAGTGACCTCTATAAATGGATCTTTTTAGAAGAAAGAGCATTTGAATGTGTTAGATATAGGATTTAATAGAAAATTAAAAATTTATCTTTTTAAAAAGAAATGTTTTCAGATTTTGCCGAAATGTACTAATATGATCTAATATGGTTAAACTAAGTATTCGAAACATAAGCAAATAAAAGGGGACAGTGTTCTGACATCAATATCTAAAAGAATAAATTATTTAAGGTTGTTAATCATTGAATTCTTCTTGATTTATGATCAAATTCATTCTACTTTTAATGATACTAAAATTTTAAAGGGCTGATTTTGCTATTGTCTGCTGTTTTACAAGTTTTCAAGGTCACAGTGTTCTGACATCAATATCTAAAAGAATAAATTATTAAAGGTTCTTAATCATTAAATTCTTCTTGATTTATGATCAAATTCATTCTACTTTTAATGATACTAAAATTTTAAAGGGCTGATTTTGCTATTGTCTGCTGTTTTACAAGTTTTCAAGGTCACAGATTCTTGCAAACTACAACTTTTAATGTAATAAACAGAAAAGTACTTTTCCTAAATCTTTTGGCGTACTTCAATCTGATCTCTGTAATTCGAAAGTAAAATTACTATTGAACTGTTTAAATAATACATAATTGACATTCAACTTAATATGTAAATAAAAAAAGAGTTGAAATGTTTTATTAATATTATATTATATTGTAATTTTGTTACAGATGATAACAAATACATGTAGACAAACTTAAGACCTCTTTCAAATGGTAAAGAAAACTCCATTAGGAGGAGTTATGGTCAAAATGCATTATTTTTTCGATTTCAAGTTGTAGTTCAAAGAGCCTAAGTTGTATGAAAATTTTTAGCAAAATTGTGACATAGCCCATTTACAGTAACTTGACCTTAAATGAAATTCTGTGTGTGTAAGTTTAAACTTTTCAGCTTCTACTCTTCATTGCCTACAAAATATACTTCATTTTGAGATAATGCAGTTTAAATAAATCATTTTTGTTTCATGAAAATATCTGAATCAAAGGATGTGTAGTATACCTCAATGACCCAGCAATGCAGTGACACAAAAAAAAACAATAGACATAATTGTGAATTGTTAAAATTCAAATTGTTTTTGGATATCTCTTGATATCTTGATGGAATGAATTAATCAGTTTCAAAGAGATATATGGCCTAGGTTTAAAAGTTTTTCATGGTAAATTTACTGGTAATGGGTAGTAAGTTAAATCAAAGCATACCTGGGAGTCTAGGATCATCACTACAGAAGAAAGTGTTGTAAATAAATACCAACTGGAAGTATGTATAGCTAACTCAATCTTAGGACTAGAATATCAACATCCTTATTGAACAAAGTACTTTTCATAATTTATAATGTTTTTTAAAAAGTTTCAATTATTGTAGAAAATTAAGTCATAGACGACGATGAAAATTAACCATCAATTCTATTATGACGTCCTTATTTTGCTATGTGAACAAAGCCATGTTCTAATTAGCACTAAACATGTTTGACACATGCGCACAAACTAACTGTTTACATTCTAGTTATTTTCATTTTTTATCGTAATAAAAAATATATATTTATATATTTTAGCTGCATACATCATTTTATTACATATTGTTATTAAAACATCATATATTTACCTTGCTATAATTTTTTAAACTTATAATGAAAATGTAATGTACATTATTCATGGGGAGGAAACGGGAATCGCCAAGTATTCTGAAGGCATTTTCATATGCTTCAATCTTTAAAAAAAAATCGTTTCTGTCCTATTAGAATTCCTTCATGCTTTATGCTCATTTTAACATGGGTAGGCATTATATATGACCATATTTTACACCTCCTAAACACTCAGTGGAAAATATGTACAAATATAATGCCTACTCATGTTAAAATGAGGATAGAACATGACAAGAAGGAATTATTTCTTAATTGAAAGGTCTGTCTCCCATTTTGATTAGGTTGTTTTGTGATGGTTTCCTTTTCTTTTTTTTCACTTACAGGCAACAATATATGTGAAAGTAAAAACAGTATTGTCATTGGAAGTAGTTGGATTGTATTTATATTTGATTTTGCAGACGACAATCAGCCAATAACAGTGTGTTATCATGGAAAGTTAATCCCTATCCCGAGCCCCCTCCAGCAGATTATATACATTTTAAAATGAATGAAGAAAGACAGCTTGCCAAAGTCAAAGATTTCAAAGAAAAAACAGATGCCATATTGCAGAGAAGAAAGTATGTACATTTTTAAAGAGTTTGAAGGAATGTACATGTCATACCACATCTTCTTATATCTATGTACAAATAATCAAGATTTGGATTAAAAAATTTAGGACAAATTAAGACACAAATTTTTCTGCATCATAATTTTTTTTTGTTTTTTTGATATACTGAGATGTTCTTTTTACCTCTTCTTGTTTACTTACTCCTTTTTGTATAAAAAATAATAAAAGAAAAACAAATATGATAGACTGCGACCAACAACGACAAAAAAACTACAGGCTAGTATATTCTCTATCTTGTGAATATATATTTACAGAGATGAAAATGTTCTTAAGGAATGGAGACATGAAACAAAAATAAAACAACAGAAGCGTCAAATTGAGATCATGAGAACAGGGAAAAAAGGTATGAAGTTTACTACTCTGAATTATGTAATGTATTTGTTAATGAAATCAATCTTCATTGAGAAGTTTGACCAATGAAAATGTGAAATGGCATAAAAATAAGTCAGAAGATATTGGTTTATGAAAATTGAAACTACCTTATAAAAGACCAAAAATGTAACACTTAGCCTATAAATGAAAAAATAAAATTAATTTGCTGTTACATGCTGTAATATTTTCTCTATCTCCAGTTAGATGTTTTGCTAAAATCTTCCTGACAATCTTACTTCAACTTGCATGCTGAAAAAAACTCCAGAACTGTTTTTGTAAAAAAAAAATTGTTTAATAAAATATTCTTGTTCTTATTTAAAGGTCAATGGTTTACCACCATCAATCTGGTTTCCTCCACTCATTAGCCATTAATTTATATTGTATTAAAAAGTGATCCACATAAGAAACAAATTTAACTTTATTTGAATATGATAAAGCAAAAGCAGTCTAAGGTTTTCAAAACAAACAGTATACATGAAGAACCTATTGTGACTTCACAGTGACAGTACTTTTATTCATGGACTACCAATTTTCATGACTTTCATGGTTTATCAAACCCACAAGTTAAAATACCTAACTTAATTCAAGGGAGAAGGTCCGGTAAGGGTTTATTTTGGCCTAAAGTTTGAAGAGCATCTGATGAAAGATTTTTGACATTTTTTAAACACTTCTACAGTCGATTCAATTAGTTTATGTAAACGATTTGAACTGATTTGGTCATTAAACTAAAGACGCCTTAATTCAAGCTTAAATATGAAAAATCTATCAAATATGCCACAAAACGTCACTATTCAGTTGGTTCTTGTCCAAAATGGAAGTGGCTGCATTCGTGTTCAGTCTCAACCTTCATATATGTTATGTATCACATATATTTGAACATTAAGAATGAGCACAAGTGCTACCACTTCCGTTTTAGACAAAAACCGTCTAAAAATTAGCACAAATGCTAAAATTGTGAAGATTTCAGTAATTTTGCATGACTTAATGATGCTAGTACATGTGTACCTAATGCATGTGCATTGCATTGTCAAAAACAGCCCATACTTATGTAACAGAAGTATTCTTCTTTCCAATCAATAGCTAAAAGTTTACATTTTTAATAACTTTTTGAAAAGCTATATTTTGAGGCCAAAAAGTTGTCTTACCGGGCCTCCTACTTTCCTACTGATTTATGATGTGCAAAGTATCAAACAAGGAATTCAATACATGTACTCACAAGCCAATGATTTTCATACAAACCACAAATAAATGGAATCTATGGGTAAAAGATTTTTCTAGGTATATGGCATCCATGCTCGGTTATCATTACTGTATTTTGTCTTTTAGACTATGTAGATCCTGTAGAGAAGGCACCATTTGATATTGACGAGAATCATATCAAAGTTATGTCCAATGAAGAGAGGATAAAGGTTGGTTATGTTCACAGGCCTGTAGTGCTTGTACATGTATCTCAGTATGTAAGACCTGATATATCTATGTAATTGGAGGCTTTTAGCGTCTTCAGTGAATAGTTTCAAGTTTTATTTCATTTTATAGATATAAGTAATGGTGATTTTTACAAAAGGAAATAGATGCCGTATATAAATGCACACTTGGTTGCAATAATGTGTCTATTAGAAGAGATTAGTTGGGCTTTTAACAGAAACTGTTTTGTAAGTTTGATAAGAATTAAGTGTTTGATTAAGAAAACAAATCATTTTATTAGCTAATCACAAGATACAGCATTAAACACAGGGGGAAAATGATATTGTAATAGATGGTTACAGTACTGTTAATTGTTTACTTAATTTTCATTATTTATGTGAAATGTTTGTTTTTCAGTTTCGTTTATATTTCGTTTTAGCTTTTCCAACTAACGAATTGATTAGTGCATTTTGTTGAAAGATTAGTGGTTTTAGTCCATGAAAAATATTGCCCCAGAAATATAATGGTTTTGCAATATATTTTGAGTTTAACCAAATATGTTTTTTACAGCAAGATGTAAAGACTGCCCACGAAAGATTAAGAAGACAATTGTCTCCAGCAAGCAGACAGAGAGTAGAGGAAGAAAAGTAAGTATTTCTTTTCTACTTGTGGCAATGATTTAAAGATATCAGTCAATAGGTCAGTTTCAGAATTTGATACAGTAAATGTTTTTACATGTTACATACTGATTGAGGTTGTTACAGGCAAGACATCCTTCTGTGTCCACAGATTTTACTATTAATACACAGTAGTATATCAATTGAATGGATGCATTGATTTTGCAAAGATATGTGTAAATATATCATGATAATTGTTTTGTTTGAGACTGGTTCATTCCATTAAACAAAAAGTAACAAATTGGATAATTAACCCCGTCTGATATTTTAAAAAGAATTTTTGATAATATTTTGAAATGTGTTTTCATGTAATTTTTAATTAGTGAAACTTAGTTATAGATATACATACAATTTAATGATGTTTTTTCTTTCATTTTGATATAGTTGTACTAACAAATACCTACCTCCACCACATTTGTCCATCATAAAGACCCAATTTATAGAATATTTTCTTCATAGTAGGACCTCGATAACTAGCAGTGCACTGAAATATTATAGTGTTATTAACTGGCTGTATTGGCCCTGTTATAGATTCGAGGTGAGTCGAGGGCAAATACAGCTGATTGAAAATCTATAACAGGGCCAATACAGAAACAGCCAGTTCATAACACTTTTATTAAATGATTTTAATTCTTTTAATTAGAATAAACTAAGAAACTTACCGTGAAGAAGATACAGAATTTCATATCTGAACTTGTCTTTTCGCATTCAAGTCCATGGATTTTTTGTCAACATTGTCAGATGTAATTTCTGATTTGTCGTCCAAGTACTTAATATTATGCTATTACAATTCATTTTATCTAGCAAATATAAAGTAGCTTGGAAGAATAAATCAGACAGTTTAACTATTCTTACTCTTGGATCGTCTGCGTTCTCATGATTAATCAACGGAAATGAAACAGTGTCAATAATCAAAAGTCTTCTCGAAAAGGCTGTGAAATATTTCCGTTTCAAGACTTCAAGACGTTACAAAACACTGAACATCATTATACAAATTTTTTTTATGCATAACGATACGTCCAAAGTTAAGTATTAAAAGCGTAAGAAAATTGAAACCGGAAGTGGGCCAATACAGCTTTTTTTCCATATTGGCCCTGTTTTTTCCGTATTGGCCATTTCCGAAAAGCAATATTAACTCTTGATTTATATCGACAGGGCAACCTCATCAGTATTGCACATGCTGATTTATCCATATTAGGGATGATTTGCTCATATCATTTAATAATACCTTTTATTATACGCCACGCAAATTTTTTGCGAAGGGAATAATGTTTTTGACCCGTCAGTCCGTCAGTCCTGTTTCTTGTCATCGCAACTCCTCTCAAACCACACAACAGAATTTCATGAAACCTTTTCAGATAATAAGGACATACTATGTAGATGTGCATATCAACAGGAAATTACGATTCAATTTTTTTTCTAGGAGTTGTGCCCCTTTGAACTTATTTGCTTTAATGTACTACTGCAACAGTTTGTCATCGCAACTCCTCTGAAACCACACAACAGAATTTCATGAAACCTTTTTAGATAATAAGGACATACTATGTAGATGTGCATATCGACAGGAAATTACGATTCAATTTTTTTTCTAGGAGTTACGCCCCTTTGAACTTTTTGCTTCAATGTACTTCTGCAACAGTTTGTCATCGCAACTCCTCTGAGAAATCACACATCAGAATTTCATGAAACTTTGTAGAAAATAAGGACATACTATGTAGAGGTGCATATTGACAGGAAATTATGATTCCATTTTTTTTTCTTACACTTATTTTATTTCTCCAATGACAATGTGGGGACGTAGGGTATGTGAGCGCGCTCACTAAGGTTCTTTAATCTTGCAATTCATGTCACCAGACAGTCATATTTTGTTAGACACCAGTAGTCGATATACTGAAGATTAATTATTATACATTGGTACTTATTTTCATTTATTTTAAGGATATTGATAAATCAAGAATTTAACAGTATAAATTTTTCTTCAAACTATGAATATTATTGCCCACAAAAACAAATCAATTCACAGTATTATAGTTGCACTTAAATAGACAAAAATGCTGTATGTTTTAGGAAAGTCATATATGAGAAAAGCTATGTTTGAAATAATACCATTTCCCATGCCATTAACAGATCTTATTCAACAGTTTAGTTTAGAAGATTGTACATAAAATAGCAATATAAACATGTATTTTATAACTTGTAGTGGTGCAGAAATAAAGTAAGAAATGTGTAGATATAATACAGTAGCTTAATCTCCCAGAAACCTCTTTATAGAATTAGTTCATCCTGCTTTAACAGTTTACTTTTCAGTTTACTTGATGTATTTTTTTTTATACGCCTGTTTATGGGACGTATTATGGTATACCGTTGTCTGTTTGTCCGTCGTCAACATGTCGGACAATAACTCAAAAATGCGATAGGCATATCATGGCGCAGCTCTTTATTACTTATGATCTGCAAAAAAAAGTATGTTGCTATTGAATAGTTGGAATTCAAAGAAGTATGAAACAGTCAACATAAATGGTGATATTTGGAATAATCGTTGATTACGATATTTATCCAATCAAAACATTTAGTTAAAATTTGAATATTTTATCTGGAGATGATACATACTGATTATCTAATGATTAAATGGAGAATGCTAAGTCATTGTTCTGAATGGATAGGGGGGAGAAATTACACAAGAAAAATTTTATCAACATGTCTTTATCAAAATTTTTCGAACTGGTCATAACAGGTTTTAATGCATACAGAAGAAACATACTTACACTACAATTTGTTATGAATATACTGTTGAAATTATAGTTAGTTCCAAGTAAGATAAATGAAATTTTTAGATTTAAGTTTATTTAACGGAATTGCTGGATAAGTCTAAAGCAAGATAAGAGGAATATTTGGATAATTAGAAGTAAATTTAAATTTTTAATTTTAATTCAAAGTAAGATAAGTTGAAATTATTTTTAAGTTGAGTTAAACTGACTGGTCCATTTTTACAGCCAGAATCAGCTATTTTTCAAATGTAGTGCAAAAAAAAATCCTTCATAATTCAACGTAACAGGAATTAATTCAAACCACCTTATTTTTCTGTGTTGCACAAACATCAATTAATAAGTTAAAAAGGTCTAAACTTTAACGCTTTAATTAAATCATGAACAAATTCAACAAATGTAGTTGACTCTTCAAAGGACAAGCACCTGTTTTGGCCCCCCTATTTTCTCATTTTTCAAATTTTGTTTTGGAAAGCTACTTATCATGTTAAATTATTCCCTGAGGTTTGAAGTTTGTTTGGATGAACTTCAAAACCATTAATTTCAGACACTGGGCATCCGTGTACCAGGGCTTCCAAAATTATTTTTAGCCAGCCAGACATTTTATATATTATCCCGATTTTAATCCCTTAAGACAAAATAAACAAAAGGCAATTATGGTAGTCACTGTTGCCGAGTTGGCCATCCCAATGATTGACATTAAAAAAAAAACGATACTAAACTTTCTTTGATTCAAATTCGAAGTTCTGACTAAACTGTTAAATTGACAGTGCATCATTCGAAGTGTGCAACATCAGCGTACTTATATCTGCCTTAGACTCTTTATTTGTGCAAAATAATGTTGTCAAAAACTTTACCTGTTTTTAATCTTATACCGGATGTTATCTTGACAATTGTAAAACATGGACCAGAGACGGATATGTAAATTCCGTGTACGTTTGCAAAGCATGAATGAGTGTATGTATAGCTCTTTCTACGTTATTTCTTCAAGAAAATATTTGAAATAAACGTGAGATAAAGGTATCAATGACAATTTAAGCATTTTTTGGAGAAATTAGGATGCATAATTAAATTTCATACCTGCGCACATGCGCACACGGACATGTCTCTGGTTCAAACACCGTGGTTATGTCGATTTTTCATTTACACCTTTTTAAATTTTTCATCAAATCATATTTGTAAACGTATTTCTGATAATTTAAATCTTTTTGACTTAATTAATTAGATGCAAACCGCTGAAATGTAAGAAAATAACTTTGAATAGATCGATCTCAATGTCCGGTTCAAAATAGTTTACCTGTCACCTGAACAGGTAAATTTCAGCTGTTCGACAACTAATTAGCCTTTATTAAAATGATTAGGTATTGAAGTAGGGGTTGTTTTGATAGTACTTAATGATCATGTCACTTTTATGACCGGAAATGTGTGGCTGTTAAAGGCAAAAGGTTGGGTCAAAAGATCGTGAATTATGTTAAAATGACCGTCTCTTAAAAAAGCCTTGAAAACTAAAAAGTAGATGACCGTTTCATGCTTTTCCCAGCCGGACTTTTACCGGACATTATAAAAACGTTTTGGAAGCCTTGCCGTGTACTATGGACACATTCTTGTTCTGATATTTATCAAAATAAGAAGATGTGGTATGATTGCTAATGAGACAACAGTTACTCTCTACCAAAGACGGAATGACATAGAAGTTAACCACTTTAATTAACTTTATTATATTTCTTCTTTTAGTTTGGGAAATGGTGAATTACTGATCAATTCAATACTTCTGCCATTTTATATGACTCTTCCATTTTTCATCTTCACTATGTTGTAGAATATATCTTGTTTAAGGTTCATCAAAAGGATTTACACCACAAAATCTACTCTAGTACAGACAAACCAATGCATCTAGGAAAGTTTTAAGGCATGGCTGGACCTAGATAAATAAAAGTTATATGTAGTTTATGTTCTAGAAAATTAAAAACTTATCTGGATTTTGATGTGAATTTTTTTCCAGTCTGCAGAAGATAGCAAAACAAACACTTGAGTTTCATTTGATACGGTCCACTCAGTTACACAGTTTAAATCACCTATTGTTTGCAGATATCTATTGTCGATCTATTGTCCATCTAAATCAATACAACTCACAACATTTATTATATGAGGGGAGCTTCTCAAACCTCTTTCCCAACTTAGTTTATTTTGGCACCTTCTGCAGGAATAAACAAAATAAGTAGCAAAATCCAGTCAATTTTTTAATGTTCTAAAACTTAAAATGCATTTAAATTTTATATATCTAGGTCCAGTCATGCTCTAAAACTTTTCCAGAAGCACAGATTTGTCTGTACCCAGAGTGAAATTTGTGGTGTAAACATAGCCATATTTGCTAAAAGGTTATGATGAACCTTAAGTATTGTCATAAAATCATGTATTTTTCTTCTTTAACCATTGAATAACATTATTGTCATCCTTATACAAATTTGTCAAAGAGCTTGATAATTAATAAGATTTAATGTAAAGACAAATATTGTTGATAATATGTTACACCTTTAAATTGGTTCTAGTTCTTTTCAAACTCATCAGTTTCATACATCAGAAAGTTATATGATGTATGATTGTCAATGAGACTTCTATCCACCTGAGAACAAAGGACAATGGATATTTCAGTCTTATAACAGTATATTGCTATTAGATTTTTGACATCACAGCAAATAATATTACCAATAGCGTAACCTTATCTAAGACAATATATCAGAATATTCTAGTTTACAGTGAATGACTTCTTGTGATTAAACAAATGGATGTGAAGGTCATCTTAAATTTTGATTACGGACAGTGTATCACAAAAAAAAACTCATAAGCTTCAACAATTCAGAGTTTATTTTCATTGACTGTAGACAAATAACAGTTTAATAGCATCTTTCGGTTTAATTCTAAATGTGAATGCAGGTTTTCTACCATAAAACTGCATAGAAATTGTGAGAAACTAGTGTACCTTTGTGAACATATTTCACAATATTTCAGGTAGATTGCAATAAATAGAATTGGTTTTTGAGACATTTCTGTGGTTTGAGTTGCAATGATTTGACAGAAATTTGTGTAAAAATACCAATTAAAGGACTGTAGTACAGTACACTATGATATAATTGTGATTCTGGTTTCAGGAACTTGAGGAAGGGTAAATTATAGTTTGATATACTCTGTTTTAACTCTGAACCCAGAATGAATTAAAACATTGTGACATCAAACACTTTAGGTATGACATTGATACTAATATAAGACAAAGAAATATGTTATAAATCTTGGTAATACAGCCTTTATTGCTTATCAGTAGCAAGGAAAAGGTATTTTACAGTCTAGCATTGCGTGTCTGGACCCTAAATACCATATAACATTGCGACACCAAGGACTTCAGGTGTTCAGTAGACCTTATTGTTATTTGGAATCAGCAACACTTGACCTTAGAATCTGTGAAACTTGAACTATTGGCTTCATACAACAATCACTTTTCTTTTGTGGAGAAGGATATTTTCTCTTGTGATGACAAAATTTTATGGGAACGTCTTTTATGTCCAGTATGTCCAGTAATGGGTGGACAAATAACAGTAAAGGTGTATATTACCCTGACAAAAATCTTTGTATGTTTAAATCTTGTTACCCATCTGTAGCCAGGAATTGTATTGGTTTTTAAAACAAAGGATATTGTTATGCATTATTGATTTTTCTTCAGAGCTGCAAGAATAAAAGAATTAGAAAAGAAGATAAAACTGCATACATCACAGATGCATTCTAGAAGGAAACAGCAAAAGGGTACACCGCAGGAAGAAATGGAAGCTGCTAGGAGAGATTTGGAAATTGTAAGTCATTATAAATTAGCCATATTATCTTCCTTATAAATAAATAATTGCATTACACATTTGTGACCACTGCTTGAAAATAGACATTTGTGCGCTTGAGCACTTCATATAAGTATTTTAATTATTTGAAAGTATGTAACAGTCCAATATTTTCCGATTTTTTGGTTTACTTTATTAAATTTAAAAGTCAATAATTTTCAGCCAATTTTTCTTATTGAATTTGCTGCTACCAGTACCAATTCAAGACCCTTAAAAAAAGAAGGCAGGAAAATAGACATCCATGAAATAAACTTGTGCAACAGTGTATCAATCATGTAATTACAAGTATAATCTGTGAAGTCCTGTGATTAGTACATTTAATAATCTATTGCTTTTAATGGAAATTGTAAATATTTCTAAATTCTTAGTTATTGATATATGAAATAATTAGACATAGATTTCTATTTATAAACTTTTAGATGACAGTTATGTTAAAATACTGTCATTCATCCAGTTTGAACCTTTTTTCCACCAATGTAGTTCCCTTTATTGAATATAATGAATTAATAGTCACCAACCTTTTCCTTTCCTTTAAGATTTAGTTAGAAATTAGATTTGTAGAAAGATTGATAAGGCTGTGATAACCTTAGGTCATTTTGTTGAAATTTTTCATTCCCCCTTTTTTCTACCTCTGTAGCATGGTTTAAGAATAATGTGATAAATACAAAGATTTATTACTTTTACATCATGTAGATATTTATCAATGCAACCAGAAAATATTAATTCTATTTAACAACACAGCTTACATATATTTGTATCCACATGCTTTGCATGTCATCACCTTAAATATTTAATCACAGTTTTTGCTACCCCTTGCAGATATTTACCTGTACACTTTTTTTCTTCACCTTTGTGTCAATAGCAGTTTTCAGGTGTAAAGTATATTTACTTATTTATTTCAAATTCTTCATATGAAATACTTTGCAGGATGGAAAATTTTAAATGTGTTCTATTGATTTTAATTGGTAAAAGTTTCCAAGTTGACATGTACCTTTAATTTCATGAAATGATATAGGCTTTTGTTTTACAAATATCATTGAAGAAAAGTTCTTACAGAAATGACAAATATAAAGGTCATTAGAAACAGCTGGCATGACTATCTTTCTGCACAGCTTTTATTATAACTTAATGCTTATAAAACAATTTATTTGTCCAGGTGAAAAATCTTCAGAAAGATTTGCTGAAACGGTATCAGGAACTCAAGGCCTGGACAACAGGTTATATCATTGTTACATTGTAGATTGCTAAATATTTTGCTTTTCTTACAAACAGTGCATGCTTTATGAGGAAAACTAATTCTCACTCTACTTTTAACTTTTATAATTATGATTTTTTTAATACATTAATTTACTTGTATACTCATTTTAACTTTTAAAATAGTAGCATAAGTTTTAACTATTTTATTTTCTAATAGCAGTCCTTTTAATTCATTTTAATTTGTTTTCCATATACACAGAAAAGCTATACTTTTTATTGATCTACTTTTGTCTTGCCTGTGAAGAAAGTGGCAAAGGTGTGATATATTGTTAAGTAGGACATTTTTGAGAGGGACGTATTTTCACTTGTATCAGGATTAAGATTGAATTGTTAATATATTCCAATTCGTAGGTTATTATTTAATGAGAACAGTTTTTCACAAGCCTACATACAGAAGTCACCAATTACAAAATTTCTAGGAATAAAAAAGACTCAATATTTTTTTATTTTCAAATCTGGACTAAGATTTCATTTCATTTGGAAAATCAGAAATAGTTTGATTTAAGGACAAATTTTATCCCAAATATCTTAGCAGGCAAGACACAGATCCTACAGAAATCTGCATAATTTATTTATTTCAAATTGATCATGTATTAGGGCTATTAATATTTCACAAATTATTTCACTGGGAATTGTTAGTCATATTTTGCAGATTCCAAATTTTCATAATATAAATTGATTTTTGTATAATTTTCTCATACATAAATCCAAAATAACAAAATGACTGAAATACTTTTATCATAATTCCTCCAGACCTCCTGTTAGGTTATTTCTAGAATTATAGCCCTTATTTATTTACGGGTATTTCAATTTCAAAATAGTTCGAGCTTTTAGACATATTATGTTTGTTTATTTAAAGTTTTTTATTTTATTTTTCCATATATATATATATATAGAGCTTTATATATATATATGAGTAGAAATATTTTCAGATATCAGGTTTTTGTCTCACCTGAACAAAGTTTAAAAAAAAAAGCATGACTAAGGTGTGCTGTTTCCATCTTTGGCTATGGAGGCATCAGCAATGAATTAGTTTGTGAATATGTCAGTTTATGGAAGGTCAACAATATTTGATATGAAGTGTTGGATTAGCATTAGCACATCTCATTTCCATGGAGATTATTTGGCCCTGCCCCCTCAGTCATGGTCTATTGACCTTGAAACTTTTCCTCAGTTGTTTGTGATTTAGTCAGTTTAAGGGGAACCACTGGTTGAAGGTCAGTGATATTTGGTATGTAGAAGTTTAAGCATCAGTATGCCTTATTTCCATGGATATAATTTTATTCCCCATCCCCTCAGTCATGGTCTATTGACTTTGATTGTTTTTCTTAGTTTACATATTTAAACTTTGTATTTAGGCAGTTTAAGAGGAACCACTGGTGGAAGGCCAATGACATTTGTTATGCAGTTTTATAAGCATTGCCACATCTTCTTTCCATGGAGGTTATAAGGCCCTGCACATTCAGTCATGGTTCATTGATTTTGAATGTTTTGCATAGTTTATATGTTCAAGTATTGCCATTTTAATTTCAACAATGGCATTATACCATCAAAATTACATAAAGACAAAACATATCTCTGTGTCAACATTTTATATTTTGTATCAGATCCCCCCAAAAAAGACCAAACAATTTCACTCTTTTAAAAATGTACACATAAGGCATATGATTTTCCAGTCTGAATTCCCGACATTTTATCAAACATGTTGTTAAGGGTAGGTATAAGACCAGATGTTGTCCTCTAGAGTTTGGGGTTTTTTGTATTTATGGGTGCTGTATTTTTTACATATTTACCCCCCATCTCTTTTATTTATATAAAGTGAATTTATTTCATGGTGAAAGATCACATGTCAGAAAAATAATTTGGTTTATGTTTTAAACTCAAGGAGAAATGGATGTGATATCAATATGAAACTTCATCAGTGAAAAATTTCTTAGCTTTTTTCTCTGCATCTGCAATTTATTAATAAGCTTCTTGATCTTGGATGCCAAACTTTACTACTTTTTTTTTTGCTGAATAGAAGTTTTGTACTTTGTTATACCAGTGATTGATCTGTTTATTATATTTTGACATTAAAGGGGCATTAGCTGTCAAATTCATGTTCACCTATTTGACTTAAATTCTCATATTTGATTTATAACATACTAAAAAGTATATCCACATTACAATAAGTCTGAAATAAACAGTTAACAATGCATGAACTTGATAACATTTGTCAGCATTTTGTGTGTATTTTAGTATAGATGCCATCTAATTAACCATCAAGATGACCTCTGAAGACTGCCGACGGTCACATAACCCGATATAAACATATACATAAATATAAATAGATAGTGACCTCGTGCAATTTGACTTTTCTAGGTCTGTTTGATTTTATGTTATAGGTTAACAAAATAAGTTAATGATCATTTTTACTTGTATAAGAATGATTTTTTGTGGATCGAATCAGTCAACGAAATGGTTCACCCTTGTTTCACTCTCAATGTTGACATTCTTTTCCTTTTAATGGCTGATCACGACTAATATATGTGTAAACAACCTCTAGCTAATGGGTTGAATTGAAGGTCACATGAATACGGATTAAGTGAGGTCGAATTATTCACTTGCAAGGGAATAATTCATTGGCGATGTTTCTTAGCTTATTTTGACAAAATTGAACTAAACTGGATGCTAAAAGTGATTTTTTTTTCACTATTTCACATTCATTAATGATTGAACAAAAAAAAATCATATTTTAATTTTTTTTATATCTCATAGCTAATGCCCCTTTAACATTACAAACCCAATTGATTTTTCAAGTAAAGGAGAACCTATTTGAGTACTCTTATCTGCATCAACAGAACTTATTGAGGTAAAGTCCTCAAATTTGGTGTGGAGATACATTTTGGAACGTGTATTCAAATGCTGCATGACGGTCTTATACAAATTGTACTTCATGGTTCACTGGCTTTGTCCAAATTAAGTCTTGATGAAATTTAATGAACATTAAGGCCTTCTGTAAAAAGTAGGTCACTTTGATTGATTGATTGATTGATTGATTGTTTGGTGATTGCTTTACTCTGTAGATCATTGACTTCTTTTCATGTTTCATTGTCACAGATAGTTCACCTTTTGGAGACTGTGGCTTAACATAATAATAATTATAAGATGTAGTAAAGTTATAATACACTGTGATCTACTGTGATCTTCATTAGACATCATTGATTTTAAGTTTAAAGATAAGTTAATTAGATATTCTTTACTTCTGAAATAGTGTAAAGGGTGAATCTTGCAGCTACATGCGGAATATTGGTCAATTAGATATACATTTTTCATGTTTATGCTTCATTGACAAAAGTCAATTTTTAGCTCGCCTGTCTTAAAGGGTCAAGTGAGCTTCTCTCATCACTTAGCGTCTGTTGCCTTAGCCAGCTGTCATTGTCGTCATTTAACTTTTACAAAAATCTTCTCTGAAACTACTCATGGTCAATTAAACGAAACGTGGCTACAATCATCATTTGGAAATCTAGTTTAAAAAATGTGTCCGATGATCCCGTCTACCAACCAGCATAGCTTAAAATAGAACATGGGGTAAAATGTAAGTTTGTCTATTATCTTGAAACCCGCTATAGACGAAGAAAATCTGACAAGGCAGAATGTTAACAGTGTTGAGTGCTACCTACAGTCTATTTACATTAAAACTGTCAGACAACTCTTATCTCCATACAGCAGTAATGATGATTTTTATCAATTTTTATGCCCCCGCCATAGCGGAGGGGGCTTTAAGTTTTACCCTTGTCTGTCTGTACGTCTGTCCGTCCCAAAATTGATTTCCTTTATCTAACTTAAGTTTGCCTCAACCAAATGCTATGAAACTTATACACAATGCGTATTACCACAAAACACAGATCAAGTTTGAATCTGGGTGGCATCACTTTACCTTTCTAGAGTTATGCCCCTTTACAAATGGAAAAATTGCTGAATTTTTTCGTTTTCGTTCTCTAACTTAAGTTTGCCTCAACCAAATGTTATGAAACTTATACACAATGCTTATTACCACAAAACTCAGATCAAGTGCAAATTTGGGTAGCGTCACTTTTACTGTTCTTGAGTTATGTCCCTTTATAATGTTATATGCAAGCTGGGGCATCATCTGTGTCCCATGGACACATTCCCCATTTATTTTTATATTTTTGTCTATATTCTTAAGAAAGAAAATTTAAAATGCAAAAATGATCAGCAGACCAGATCTACGAATAAGTCAACATGGCTGAAATCAAAGGAAAAAGGGAAATGGTGAGCAAGACTAAGTCTACAAATGAGTCAACACTGCCAAAATTTTATGTTTACTACCGGTACTTACAGGAGTGATTGCCCTTAAATGACAATGTCTCTTGGGCAAAAACTATAGAAGATAAAGAGAAATTGTAAGCAGCAAAAATGACCAGTTAGAAAAGATCTTCAAATAGTTCAACAAAGCTGGAACTAAATGTACACTTCTTAAAAAAGTTATTGCCCTTGAATGACTATTTTTACCCATTTTTTTTGTATTTTGCTGTAGTAAATATAGAGAAAATGAAAACAGAAAAAATGATCAGCAAAACAAAATCAATGAAAAATAGATCTTGGTCATGAATTATATTCAAGTCTGTTGAAGAGAGGTCATTGTTGAAAATGCATATAGATCCAGATTAGCGACACAGGTTCTTTAGAGCCTCTAGTTTCAATGAGCCAAAATGTTTAAGAAATTCAGATCCAGCAGTTTTTGTTAAAATTTTCATTTTTATCAGCTAACAGAATACTAATAACACATGAATTTAACACACGGAAGATGACGTCTTCATTGTTTTTGTTAATTTGCATGTTTAAATTCAATTGATGATTTTTTTTAAATTATATATTTATAATTGAAGTTAGATATAATCAGAAGAGGAATTAATATGTAAAGCTTGATTTTGACGTAAAAATTTAGATAATGACAAAAATAAATGAACTGTATGCAGTATCTGAAATTTCTCAAGAAAGCTTGCCTGTTTTAATTTATTTTAAGACCAAAAACATGTTATCAAAGTTGAATTTCATTTAAAACTGCTCATATGTATGCTTGTCAAGTTGAATCAATTCCCCATTGTAACTGAAACACCTTCTTTTCTCTAGGGGTTGGTGATTTTTTGCCAATGATTGCCACATAATAAAGGTATCAGGTCATGCAGTTTAGTTTTTTTATCTTTGTTCTATTTTGTGATTTTTCATTTAGATACTTGACAAGGGAGATGACCAGAAGCTGGAGCTTTTGATTGTTAAACTAAAGTTGTCTAAATTTTTTTACTTGAATATGGGAAATTAATGTATAAACTGACATTTTTGAAATGATGAATTATCTTTTTTTTTTTTACGTCCTTAGAAATCAAAACAAGTCGGTATGTAAAAAGACCTTCTGAAAAGGAGAGAGAGTGAATTACAGAGCTTTTTTCTTCTTCAACAAATTCAGTTGAAAGATGAACATTTTGAGCTAGCGTATAGGAATTTTGACCTTATGTGGCCAGTTAATAATTAAGTTATTGTTTAGAAAAATGCTCTGATGTAACCAATTTTGTTTGTTTCCCATATTCATTGCATATTTTCATTTATTGACATACTTATTTACAGAATGACTATTGATTTTGATTGATATGGACTTGTTTATCTTGATATACTTCAGTTTTTAGCTGTTGTCTGCTAGTCTGTCCTTATATTTTTATCTAATAGGTTTTACTTAAGCACTTAAAATTGTATATACTATAACAAAGGCAAAATATTATTACTACCAACCTTGCGAGACTCTCATGGGTAGGTAAGGTTGTTAAACACCTCCCTACTGTAGAACAGCTTTGGCTCCCATTGAAAAAATTATCTAAATGAAAAGTCATATTATTTTTGAAGTTAACCGCATGCACAAACATTAATCCTAAATGTTACAGTTGTTTGGAGATGTTTACTTTTAATATTCGGGAACCACTCGTTCATTGTGTTCACTTGCTAACTAATGTTAACTAAAATTGCCCATTGATGTTATGAATTCTAGCACTGTTACAGATGAAATAGAAATTTGGAAATTCAAAACTATTTCCTGTGCAAGTAAAAAATGTAAAATAGGGTGCAAAGTTTAGGAGAAAACTGTCTTACATCGCATGATTTCAGTAAAAATGCCTATTCTGACATTTCCAAGAAATGCTATTGAAAGTTGGGTGAGTTTTTATTCCAAAGCCTTAGAATTTTTACATTGTCCACACAGGCTTACTTCCCTTCACTTTTTATATTATAATCAATCAAAATAGTTAATATTTATATCTTTATTTTAAAGATGGTGATTTTGAGAACACACCAACTCGAATTAGAGTGGTGATTCCAACACTTTATTATTTCCCTGAGTATTAAGGTGAGTTGCTACAGCTCAGTTACATTTGGCTCAAATTGTACAATAGAAAGTCTGTGTGAGCTAATGTCAACATGCTAGTCATTTAAAACATTCATTGTGTCATATCAGCAAGATGGCATTTCATTTGAAACACTGAGAACACATCCTCTGTCAAGTTATGTATCAGAATTTCACGCAGTGCATCCTTTGGTCCTGAAAAATGGGGCCCAAAACAGAATAACGCTTCAATTCTAAGGGGATTGAAAACATGACAAGATTGAAGATTACTTGTTTTCTTTATGTCCAGTTACAAATATTTCATGTATTTTCAGGCCAGGATGGAAAAGTTAATAGATGAAGCTGTGGCATAGATCATAGTCCAAAATAAATTTCGAGATATTTTAACTGTAAAATCATAGAATTGGTATCAAAATATTTGGAAAAATGTAATTTTAGAACATTTTCTGTATAAATCAGTATAAAAGTTGATCTCCTGAAGATTAATTACTTCCCCATTTTCTAGAGTTCAGGTTTAACGTTAACCTTAATATGAAAATGTATTTCATAGATATACTTTTTTACAGATAAAAAAGAGGAAAATCTTGCCCTATTGTAAGGAAGCCTTGAGAGTGTTAGGTAGATGGGTTGTCATTTCATTTCATACTTTCGGGGATTCAGATGTTTTAGTTCACTCTTTTTTGTTTGAAATTTCTTCTTTTTGATGTGTGATGAATTTAATTATTGCAGTTTGATAGAGGAGTTTAATAGTTTGAATTTTGTGTTACTGTGATAATTTAATTCTTTTTTTCAAGTTGTATAAAAGGAGATAAATATTTCTTTTAGTCTTTAAAATAGGAGCCATTTACAATTTATTGAAGTTTTTAAGTAGCAGTTGACTATTAATTTTTTTATTTATTATATTTGAAATTGTAGATATATTTGATATTTTTTGTGTTTTTTGTATTTTTTCAAGTCTTTTTTTTGTTTAAATTGGAGCTCAATATTATTAATCAGAAATACCTTAACTTGTTAGAATATAAGTTTTAATTTATAAATGGTGTTACAAATGATTTTAAAAAGTCTCAAACTTCATTTTCAAGACATATCCTATCACTTTCAGATTAAAATTAGTAATTTTAGAATACTTTCAACAGACATTGTCATTATTTTCTATTTTGACATTTGAACCAATGTATAACTATTAGTAAATTATTTTATACAAAGTTTGTGTTCAGTTTTTGTGACATACTAAGGATAAATTTAGGATCATGTATGGCAACTTTTAAATTTATTAAAAATTTTGGGTCAAATAAGACCCTTATTTTATGTGTGTGTGTGTTTTTACTGATGCTTAATTTCTATACAGGGAGGATGACAGCTAAATTGTTTTCTAAAAAATGAGGTGTGTAAGTAAACAGGTGTATATTTATCGTAGCTAGTGTAGTTATAGAATGCCAGGTTGCATTTACTTTGTGGTTGTCTCCCTTTGCCATGATTTTTATTATTCATACATACAGGGATTTCCATTTTAACTGTAAGAAAGTTACTCAAGGTCTTAAGAAATTTATCAAATTTCCATTCAACAAATACCAATCAGTGTTATAAGGGACAAAAAATTTGACTATAATATAGATAATAAGTTTTAGAAGTCATATTGATATGTTAAAATTTCATTTTCCTCTTTCCTTTCTAGGAAGTGTTTAAATTATATATTGTTACCTGAGTTGCTGAAGGCGGAAGCAGGTCTAGTAGCAGCTCGAATTCATCTGTCTGTCCGTCAGTCCATCCTAAAGAAAATTTAAGTCAAATGAAAGGGAATGATTTAATATTTGGTCTGCAGCTTGATAATGTTGACTTGTAGGTAGTAAGCAATTTTTACAACTGCCATTGCCACTCTACTGTTTGCTGATAGTTTGAAATTTTACAACCCTCATTGTGCAAGGAAAATTTTTTGTCAAAGTTTTCTTGGCTTCCTTGAAAGGAATGATTTTATATTTGGGTAATGTTGAGTTGTAGCGAGTAAGCAATTTTTACATTTGCCATTTAGCCACTTCCTGTTTGCCTATAGTTTGAAATTTTACAACACTCAGTGTACTTGGAGAATTTTCGCAAAAGTTTTTTTTGGCTTATATGAAAGGGAATGATTTGATATTTGGTCTGCAGCTTGATAATGTTGAGTTGTAGCGAGTAAGAAATTTTTACATCTGCTGTGTAGCCACTTCCTGTTTGCGGATACTTTGAAATTTTACAACACTCATTGTACAAAGAAAATTGTGTCAAACTTTTCTTGGCTCTCATAAAAGTGAATGATTTTTAAAATATTTGGTCTGGGAATGATCAGTTATGCTTGGGTATACAAGTTACCTCAATCAGTTGCATGCACTGACACAGGTCTAGACCCAATATTGGTCTTGTTTTTCTCTATGTCTGACACAAAATTTTATGAACAATATACCTTCTAAGGTTAACTCAGATGGCATTCTTAAACAATTACCAGAGTTATAAGCTTTTAACGAGGAACATTGCCTTTATACAGTAATTACCAGTTCCCTCATGTTATGTAGACCTGGGATGAAAATAAAAAAGATTTTATGTCGTGTATAACTCAGAGAAAATTCTATTATAAAGTACACGGTTTGTGAACAGGAAATTTCCAACCTTTAATTTCAGATTGGAATATCAGTTGGCATAATTGTTTGAGACCTAATTGCACATTTTGAATGTTTAGGCTCAGTGAGGTTATTTTTAATTAGTAGGGAGTAACGGAAGCTCAGTGAGGTTATTTTTAATTAGATTGATAGTAGGGAGTAACGGAAGCAGATTATATGTTTTTTAACTTTTTAACAATCATTTATGATTATTTGAATTTTGAAAGAAAATACCTAATAAATTATAATTTAATGAATATTTATTTTATTGAGTAAAAGATCAGTTCCTGTATTTTCACCCTCTAATTGCAGATATTCTTTGATATTTGAAATGTCCTTTCATTTATATAGGACTCTAGAATAATATATATTGATGATACAATTCCTGATTTTAATATATTTAAAATATTCACATGGACATTTATTGTTTTGCCACTATACTGGTAATATATAGTAAATACAGACAGCTTTTTCCAAGCTTTATTTGTTGATGTATCTAGATTATTTTGTTAATCTTTAGAATTGTAAACTTTTATATATAGCTTACATGCCTTATACAAATCTGCATTCATATATATCAAAAGATAGAAATACAAGTGAAATAAATATTATGTTTGTAATTTGGTTTGATAATGTTTGTAATAGTTGCATGCATGTTTTTCAAATCTCCAATGGTACTTGCAAATTAGATATGACAGTGCAGGACTTTTAATCACAACTTGCATGAGTTTAGTAGACTGATCACAGGTCATAGATAAACAAAATTAAAAGCTTCAATATCTAATGCATGCATCCACATATATTACATTAAATTTTTCCTTTTTAAAGAAAATAAAAATGTATATTTAAACTTAGCAATAATATTTTAAATCATTCAAGTTCATTAAGGTCAAAAGAGACCATGTCATCCCAAATTCTACTTTGTACCAGAAATCCCCAGTGGGCAAACTGTTTTCGAAATTACTAATGAATATTAATTGACTGAAAGAAAAGGAAAAACCTGACACATATGTTTATTGGTAGCTTGTATTACAGTATAGGACTTCAAATCATAATAAAGTATGTTTGAAAGCCATTGGTCTGTAGCTAGGGCAACAACCAATACCTGCCACTCATGTCTGTAGAAATAATGTATGTTCGAATGCCATTGTTCTGTAGCCTGGTGAGACAGGGCAACAACCAATACCTGCCACTCATGTCTCTAGAAATATAAATGTATGTTTGAATGCCATTGTTCTGTAGCCTGGTGAGACGTGGCAACAACTAATACCTGCCACTTGTGTCTGTAGAAATAATTATTTGCTCTTCATTTTCTGGGGTATTTTCAGTTTATAGTGAGGTAATTTAGTAATCTTAGTACAATTACCTAAGTTTCTGCTTAGGCTCATTTATTTTTTATATTTACTCAAAATTTGTATGTATTCGACTTTTTAAACATCTGGTGTATGTTGTGTCAAGGTTTTTCCAGAAACACATGTCATGTTCTCAGAAATCAGTGTTCTTTCTTTCAGCAAGCCATATTCCAAATATCTAGGAAATTCCACATTACATGAGAAGTTGTTTCCAAAGGATTTACTGAAACTCAAGTCTAAAATATTTAATAAAAACATGAAATTTTGCTTTATTATTAATATTTCTTTTCTATTTTTTACTTTTAGGCTGAAGATCTCCACAAGGAGTTAATGAGCACTCGCAAAAATTTGGAGTACCGATTCAGAGCCTTTACAGCTGAAGTATCGTCATATCCAAGGGCCAAGAAAACTCCAGTGTAGAAAATTAGCAAATGATATTCAGACTACTTAACTAATTTGAGATGCCAGTTTATGCCTTCAACTAAAGAATTTTTGTAGACAATGCAGTTTGAGTTTCTGTTATGTTTTATATGTGCATGTGATAAAATATTTGAATAACTAAACTGAAATCTGAACAATGCAAAGTTGATCAGAAGTATTTGAGCGACTTCATCATTGGATAATTTTAAGAATATCAATACATTCTGATGTATATTTCCTTTTAAGTTCACTAACCTTGAATGCCAGAGTGACAATGTCTGAAAATTGTTTTGAAACAACTTTGGAAGTTTAAATTAAACCTTATCACTTTATATAATTACAACAGTTAAAAAAGGCAAAGATTGATTGATTAAGCCTTTTTTTTTAATAACTTTTTTTTACACTACTGTTACCTAGATTTAGTCAATAGTATGCATAGATTGCTGCTGTCTACACTCTTATAAATGCTTTTATTTTATGTGTTCACAAAATTCATCACATATTATGACTGAATTGAGCTCACAGTTATTAAAATATTTCAATTCATATTAAAATTTTCTATTATACATGAAGAATTTCAGTTTTTTACACATAAGGGTATGAATAATAGAGGATATTTTGTGTTCAGTTCTATATGTTGTCAGTTTGCATATCATTTTAACCAACTTCAAAAGTTGTGTTTTCTGTTTATATTTTTTATTCTCTTAAAGAGGTGTATGGGAAGAATGTGGTGTGACAGTGTGTGTGTCCTTTTCTTTTTTTCTCAGTGTTATTTTATGTCAATTGTCATAGATCCCAGTTATTATAGATATTAAACAGTTAGAATTTTATTGCTTGGATTTTGAAGACTTAACTGACTGAATAAATACTGTAAAATACTGTAAAGCAAATTTAAATGGAGTCAAGTTTCTGTAGGAAAAAAAGTGTGATAATTTGCTAGAAAGAAATTCCTATTTACATTACTTATCTCGTATAACTATCATGTGAACAAATGTGCTACAGGGAGACAACTGTACTTACTTTATAATAACTTTACAGTGAAAATGTGTATGATTAGTTAATGAGGTTTTCTTTTTACATTCCTGCTATTGTTCAGATCTGTACATTATTTATTGTGGCCATATGTTATTTATATTTTGATTCTTACCATTATTTATTATTTATCTATTTTGCTTTGATTATATTGTTTAATCTTAAGAAAGCATTGCAAGTGCTGCTGGTGTTTAATTGCATGGCTCAGATGATGTCAGACATCTGAAGATAAAATTTAAAGAAAAAGTTTATTAGAGAAAGTTCAATTTATGAATGAAGATAAAAACAGTTAGGACTTTTTAGATATAGAATGGTCCTACCTCTTCTTCCATTTTATTAAACTCATTTGCATTTAAATCTCTTGAATTCTTTGAAAAAATAAAACGGTCAGTACAGTTTTCTGTTTTTATTCCTGTCACTTAATTTTTGAATGAAAATGTTTTCCTGTAGATGTTATTGACAGATGTTCATGCTTATGATTTTTAGAACTGTATAAAATTGTTCACTGTTGATAGTTGTTAGCAATATTATCTAAAAAACACAAATATTCGAAATTCTTTGTAGTTTGACAAATATGATGAATAAATTATTTTAACTATAAATGATTTAGATTTATACAGACCATAATATCAAATGAAATGGATCTGATTGTAATGTTATTTCTTTACTATTTGAAACTGATTTCTGAGGCTTTTTAGAATCAGAGAAGGTGCCGTGGTAGCTGAGTGGTCTAAGTAGTTCCTCTACTGTATCACTAGCCTGTCAACACAGAGGTTGTGAGTTCAAACCCTGGACTTGGCTGGTGCATTTGACAAGGATTACCAGTTTTCCTGCACATGGTTGTTGGTTTCCTTCAGGGCACTCCTTCTTCCCCCACCAAGAAAACCTGGCCGCCATTAAAATAGATGATAGTGTTGAAAGTGAGGTTAAACACCAAAAATCAATCATTTAATTTCAAGAAGCTGATACTCTTTACGTTACTTTGAGACATGATAGTACTAGCTGACCAGAAAATCATAGAATTATGATCAACACTTTGTAAAACACTATTTCTCTTTATACTGCATTACTAAACAAGGAAATTTATTCAGTGAGAATATTATTATAACAGTGCTTTAAATTGGTTAAAATCTTTAAACAACTCAGATGTTTTATTTTAATGATCAGGGGTAACAGTTATGTCAAATCAGAAAAATGTTTTCTAAAATAATAGAAGAAAGTATCCTTGGACACAGATGCCCAGGTCTACAGAAAACAAGGTTTGCAGAGCCATTTGCATAGTGAAAACATGAATGAACAAAAAGGGACATGGGTATACCTCAATGGGACATCAATCCAACAAAACAAATGGCCAGAAACCATGTAAGTTCAATATACAGTCTTCAATAATAGACAGGTGTCTATACAATATTAATAAGCTCTAAAGCACCCTTGAGTCTAAAAAGATGTGAATTAATTAAACAGACTACCAAAGAACTGCCATCATTACCTGGTACTTTTATTTACAGTTGGTCTAATGTTGGGCTGTTACACAACTATCCAAGGTTAGGGGAGAGTTTAGCGCTCACAAACATGTTTAACTCCACCACATCATGTTTTTGTCCCAAACTAGGAGCCTGTAAAATGGTTGTTGGTTGCTGTCTGTCACATTTGTTTTTTTGTCTTGTTTTTTATGAGACATAGGGATTACTATCCGTCGGCAGCAGTTGTGACATAATCTATTTGTATAAAGCTTTATGTTTCAGAAGGTAGAAGACCTGTATGCTTCATACCTTATATGCAGATACCTTGTTATGAAGTTTCTGTCTGTCATATGTTCACTGTCCTTGACCTCATTTTTGTCTCGCCTAAACGGAGTCAAAAATAAGACATAGGTATGCTGTTTCTGGCGGCGGCATCGACAACAATGTATTAGTTTGTGATTAGGTCTTAGTTTATGGTGAACCACTAGTGGTAGGTCAATGATATTTGGTATGCAGTTGTATTAGCATTGGCACATCTCATTACCACAGAGATTATTTGGCCTCGCCCCCTCAGTCATGGTCTATTGACTTTTAAACTTTGCTTTGTTTACATGTATTAGTTTGTGATAAGGTCAGTTTATGGGGAACCACTAGTGGTAGGTCAATGATATTTGGTATGCAGTTGTATAAGCATTGACATATCTCATTTCCATGGAGATTATTTGGCCCCGCCCCCTCAGTCATGGTCTATTGACTTTGAAACTTTTGCTTCGTTTACATGTATTAGTTTGTGATTAGGTCATTTTATGGAGAACCACTAGTGGTAGGTCAATGATATTTGGTATGCAGTTGTATAAGCATTGGCATATCTCATTTCCATGGAGATTATTTGGCCCCGCCCCCTCAGTCATGGTCTATTGACTTTGAAACTTTTGCTTAGTTTACATGTATTAGTTTGTTATTAGGTCAGTTTATGGGGAACCACTAGTGGTAGGTCAATGAAATTTGGTATGCAGTTGTATAAGCATTGGCATATCTCATTTCCATGGAGATTATTTGGCCCGCCCTCTCAGTCATGGTCTATTGACTTTGAAACTTTTGCTGAGTTTACATGTATTAGTTTGTGATTAGGTCAGTTTAAGATGAACCACTAGTGGTAGGTCAATGATATTTGGTATGCAGTTGTATAAGCATTGGCATATCTCATTTCCATGGAGATTATTTGGCCCCGCCCCTGCAGTCATGGTCTATTGACTTTGAAACTTTTGCTTCGTTTACATGTATTAGTTTGTGATTAGGTCAGTTTAAGATGAACCACTAATGTTAAGTCAATGATATTTGGTATGCAAATGTATTGGCATTTGCAAGTTTCATTTCCATGGAGATTATATAACCCCACACCCTCATTATGGTTCATTGACTTTGAAACTTTTACATAGTTTACAAGTTAATGTTTGTGTTAGTTTAAAGGGAACGACTTATGAGATTTCAGTGGTATTTGGTATACAGTTGTATTAGTATTGCACATCTAATTTCCATGGAGATTGTTTAGCTCTGTACCTTCAGTCATGGTTCATTGACTTTGAATATTTGCATAACTTACATATTAATAAAGTATTGCTATTTAAATTTCAACATTTGCATTATCAAAATAACAAATAGACGAGACATATCTCTGTGTTAACAGTTTATTTATGGTTCAGTGACTTCTTGAAAAAATATTAAATTTTTTTGTCGTATTATGAGTAATAGGATAACTAACTATATTTGCTATATATGGGTTCCTTGCAACATCTACATGTCCGTCAGACAGGGTTCATCTGACCTCAACCTCATTTCATGGATCAAGGATCAAGGCTAAAGTTACATGATTAGGTCTGTTTATTTATCAGATACTATAAGCAGTAGGTCAACTATGTGTGGTGTATGGAATGATTGTAAGGGGTACATGTCAGTCTGGCAGGTTGCATCTTTCCTTTACCTAATTTTCATGGTTCATTGGTCAATGTTAAGTTTTTCAAATACTATAAGCAAAAAGGTCAACTACCCGTTTATTTGGTGTATGGAATAACTGTAAGGTGTACATGTCTGTCTGACAAGATTTATCTGACCTTGACCTCATTGTCATGGATCTTTAAAAATGTTAAGTTTATGTGATACTTGTATTAAAATTATTATCTTGAAGACTTTCAACATAAAATCAATGGTCAGTAAAGCAGGTGCAACATTTCAGCGTGTGCACAATATTGTAAGCTAATATCAGGCAGACAATTTTCTCTTTTAATTTGATTCATATTTTATTTCCCCAGGTGTCAAATTGGCTAACTACAGACTGAGACTACTATACCACCTATAGTGCATTCATACCACATTTCCTAATTTTTTTTATTGAGATATGACAACCACTGACTACTGATGAGGGTCCTTACTTTTTTTTGGGGTTCTTTTAAACTTTTTATAAATATCTAAGAGAAATGTAGGCTTGAGAGCCCTTTACAATGCAATATAACATAAAATTAATATTTCCAAGAGCCATAACTCTGACTCTGTTTAATATAATTGATCTGCCTTTTTTTTTAAATTGTCTGAGACATTGCTGATATGGAATTTAAACAAATATTTCCAAGGGGCATAATTCTTTTAAAAATAGGTGATCAGAACAGATTTTCAAAATTGTCTGAGACATTGCTGGAATAAACCTTTGATATAAATTTGATAAAAATCATACTAGAATTGTACATAGGAGAGGGCTTACAAGACTGGATGGATGGATGGATACCCGATATTTCTATGTCCCCAAAATGTGTCCTGCTTACGAGAAAATAGGAAAAGGACTTATATCCATATTACCTGTATACTGTGGATTCAAAGTTTGCTAACAAGCTTATGGTAAATTTGAACTTCCTTGAATATTTAAATTTGTAGTTCAGCTTTACCCACGAAAACCACAAAATTTGTATCTCACTTAAAATAATAAATCCACAGTAATATTTTGCCAAAACAAAACAGTAATAAACAAAGTATTAAAAGAATGCTTACATTTACTGAGAATAAGCTCAAAGTACTTAACCTGCTGATTAGAAATCATGCCAGGGTATACTCTAATATTGGTGGCTGTACCAACAGTAGATTTCAAATAGCAAGGTCAGAAACAGATAAACATGACCTGTACAAAACTTAATCGAGGAAAAACAAACAGAACTTTTTGGAATTGTTTCAAACAGAAATCAAAGATGATGATGGATAAGTGAAATGTCCAGTGGCAAATATAACGTGCATATCTGATTTTGAAGTAGCTACAAAAATCTTCAAAAAGCTACTCAAGTAGTTGAACATTCATCATGTTTAGTTCATACAGATGTAGTCCTAAATAGCAGTCTGATCTTTCTGCAATGTCATTCAAAGTTTTTTTTTCAATACTTTATTTGTTGTGTTAGTGTAACTAACATTTTTCTTTCATTTGAATAAATCTGTGCATTGCCAGTTCAATATTTCTAGATATTAAGTAAATACCAACATTTTTAAAATATCTAAATATATTTATTGTGCAAATGTGTAAAAAAAAAAAAATTGACAACATTTTCCTAGCATGAAATGAATTACATAAAAAAAGGTCAAATCTGTAAGTAGAGATCAATTTCCATTGATATGATTTCTTTAAGATATGTCATATGTGACCCTTGACCTTGAAACAATATACATAAGTAGTATTGCCATTTGTACAATACCTATAAAATCAGAAAAAGACATATCTTAAAACAGTTTGATAATAAAAAGCTCTCAAAGATAAGAAACATAAAAAACGGATATTTTTGAATAAACTTTGACTTATTAATAGCAAATAAAGTACCTTTAAATAAGTTTTGACTAGCAAAAACAGTAAAAACTAAAATGCTTCCATATTTTTAAAGTCTAGATGTTAAAGTGTGTTTGCCAGTCAACCTATAAAAATTCAAAAATATTTGCATTAAGTAGACAGCAGTGAGCCTTAATTAACATTGCATTCGTTATTGCATAAAATGCCAGGTGATTGTAACTGGCCAGTAATATATTTGAATTTTTCATAACATATTTGCCTTAAACCTATAGAATGCCCCTTTCCATTTGTAAAAAGATGTGAAAACAACCTAATTCAAAAAGATGTTGTGCAAAATTTAATAACTGCATGAACTCATGTTAGGACATGCCTGAATCATTTTGGGGTTTTGTTAAATGCAGATCATTCCCATCTAAGGCCATTTACTGAATCTTATACTGTAATAAATGGTATAAAAATCATTGACTACCAACAAAATCTCTCTTTTAACTGACAAAAAATAGATTTTTAGTTCCTTTTTTTCACTCATACATGCCAGCTGAACAATTAACCATTTTAACATTTAAGTAAAATTACCAGAAGTTATAAATATAAGTATTAATTGAATAACAAACTTTTGAAGATATAATGTTACACTTAACAAACAGACCTGTTACACTTGATAAACATACATATGATACACTGAATAAACATACTTGTTACATTGAATAAGCATACACATGATACACTGAATAAACAGACATATGGTACACTGGTTAAACATACACATGATACACTGAATAAACAGACATATGGTACACTGAATAAACAGACACATGATACACTGAATAAACATACACATGATACACTGAATAAACATACTTATTACATTGAATAAACATACACATGATATACTGAATAAACATACACATGATACACTGAATAAACAGACATATGATACACTGAATAAACATGTGTTACACTGAATAAACAGACATGTTACATTGAATAAACAGACATATGATACGCTGAATAAACATACACATGATACACTGAATAAACATATGTTACACTGAATAAACATGTTACACTGAATAAACAGACATATGATACACTGAGTAAACATATGTTACACTGAATAAACAGACATGATACACTGAATGAACATGTGTTACACTGAATAAACAGAAAATTATGCACTGAATAAACATACACAATATACACTGAATAAACATGAGTTACACTGAATAAACAGACATATGATACACTGAATAAACAGACATGTTACACTGAATAAACATGTGTTACACTGATTAATCAGACATGTTACACTGAATAAACATGTGTTACACTGAATAAACAGACATACATGTATGATACACTGAATAAACATGTGTTGCACTGAATAAACACATGTAATACATTGGATAAACAGACATGTAACACTGAATAAACAGACATATGTTACACTGAATAAACATAGGTTACAGTGTTACACTGAATGATACACTGAATAAACAAACACATGGTACACTGAATAAACAGACATGTGTTGCACTGAATAAACAGACATGTTACACTAAGGCAAGAATCATTATTGTCATGTTCCAATGAATGCATCTTCAACTGGTTTTGGGGATAATGATTGCTCATCTGGGTGGCTTGATTAGTATCAATTTTCCAGACTTTATCACTACTTTTTTGAGACCACAAAAAAACAGTGAATTGGGCACAACATTATATACTATTCTATCCATAAACATTTTAAGAAATTTATCAATGGCATATATACTCAGATATTCAAGTCACCAAATGATGTATATGTGCATAACCAAACTAGTCAAGAAAATTACATAAAATGTGTATGGTGCATGAAAGTAGCATCGGTTCTAAAAATACAAATGATGTCATTGTTAAAGTTAAATAAAATTGAATTATCTTTCTTTGTCATTAGTTGTAGTTGTATAACCAACTATAATTATGGACAAAGGAGGAAATCTCCAATTTATTTATACAATGCAATGTTTAATTTTTAGTTCCCACTGCAAAATGAATGCAATCTTATCCTTCAGTGCTCACAAGAACTTTGATTTTTTCAAATGCCTATTCATGTAAGAAACACATGGCCATGGACTGACCTGCAGCAGTTAAATATGTTAATAAAAGAGCCTGGTAAAAAAGTGGTCACGTCTATGTGTATGTGGACAGAATTAATAGTGATAAAAAACAAAAATTAAATATACAATTGTGCATCTGCTAAACATGTCTACACAATTCTATAATATGATAAAAAAGTAAATCCATTCTGATTAGCTAATTAAATAACTAAAAATTATAAAAAAAAAGTCATATATCCCACAAAAAATATGTATGATTACCACTATAATGGAATGTTTATGATTTATTAGGACTAGATCAACCATTTATTTACATGTTATTTTGATTTAGATGATTGTAAAAGTATTTGAGCTATTTCTGTTGGATAAATTCTTCCAACAGCAACTGATTCACAACTAACTTAATTTGAATGTTCTTGTGACCAAATTAAAGAATATGGAATTATGTAGTAGGTATATACCTGAGCAACTCCAGTTTTGTTCAACAAATATTGCCGCAAGGTAAAACTGATTGTGGTTCTAACATGGCTATTTAAATACAATTTTGATATAAAGGGTTGACTTTCATTTGTCCTTTTCAGCCTTAATAATAAATTTGAACATTTTTTTTCTTCACAGATCACAAAAAAAAGATGAATTAAACAGCATTTCATTTGGCAGTTGCAATACATGCCATTTAGTTAAAATTGATTGTAAAACAAATAAAACTGTGAGCTACTGCTCACTTATGATACCACTTTAAGAAATCAGAAAAAAGGAAGTTGATAAGCGATGAATCTATTCCAAGGAATGCATGTTCACATGAAGTCTGATAATAAATTTCAGTAAGCTCTTAATTGTAGTTCCAAGAAAAATGCAATAAAAATTTCATACATCACTATAGTCATGAAATGAACAGACATCAGAACAGACGCACATAAAACAGTAAACACCTCTCTTTTGGAGCAGGGGGATAAAAAAGGTTTATAAAAAAATGTATATATAAAAAAATTAAAAATTGCTACAATAAAAGCTTTTTGTTCTTAATCTGCTAAGTTACATTTTTTTGTTAAGTTGCATATAAATTATGAAAAAACAACAGATATAAATATTTCATAATAAAAATATAACAATAACAATAAAAATAAAATGCTCCGCAGTGGGCAGCTTGATATGAGCGCAGATGTCGAACCCTGAGCATTTCAGGCAACAGTCAAGATTGATACTACTCTGAATTTGGATTGTGATTAACTATTTGACACAGCATAGGTATCTGAAACAGAATGAATGTGATCTAAGAACTTAGAAATTTGAAATTGGACATTTACATATCATGGTCCAATATCCACTCATGAATACATGGTTAGATTCAGCATATTAACGAACCCCAAAAATTCAAGACTTTGAATTAAACTCCAATGAAATTGGTCAAGAAATAAGCAATTTATACAAAGTATCAGAAAAGTATTGTTTCTGGCTCCTTTTTCCTAAATGGTTAGGGTCCTTACCCCCCAAAATCAATTCCAACCTTACTTTTTTGGTATGAAACCTTATGGTACAATATCATAGATACCCATAGTTATTGTTCAGAAACCAGAAAATCCTTGTTTTTAGGCCCCTAATTCCAAAACGTTTTTGGCCATAACCCCCAAAATCAATCCCAATCTTCCTTTTAAGGTATGGAACCTTGAGGTACAATTTCATAGACATCCATACACTTGTAAACAAGTTTTTGTCTTAAAACAAGAAAAATGCTTGTTTTTGGTCCTGCATTCCTATAGATAGGAAAATTACCCCCAAAATCAATCCCAACATTCCTTTTGTGGTATGGAACCTTGTGGTACAATTTCAGAGATCCATACACTTATACTGAAGTTTTTGTTTGGAAACCAATGTCTTCGTACGACGACCACGACAACGTAATACCATTATACAACCGCAAAATTTAGCAAAAAGTTTGCAGTCCTATAAAATGTCTAATGTATGTGCAAAGAGTAAGTTTGAGACACATTTATATGAATTATAATATATTTTCATTACTTATTACAAATGCTCATTTCAAATAGAAGTAGATTTTATATACCGGTATATTAACATTTTTTTAAAACTGAAAATAGTAGAATGTAGGCCATAAATTAACATAATATTTTTTTGTTTTTAAATTTAAAATCAATCAGTCCATTGTAATAATAATTTTTCTAATTGCATTCTCACAACTTATTGCTATCATTTTTCCTCCAATAATTTTCCATGAAGTATTGCTATATTGAATTTTCTGTCATTCTAGTATCATCCACAAACTAAAGTTATCAACATAATGAGAAATCATTGTTTTTAAATATCCATAAATGTACCTCAAACTTACATGTATGTAATATTGAAAAAAATGTTATATACAATGTATCCCTGATTATGAAAGACATGTTAATTAAGGTACCATTTTATACCTCCAAAGTATTTTATAGTTATTGTTTTCAAATTTATTGCTGTTATTTCATTGGATCACTCTGTCAATGTAACTGACTGGTGTCCTTATCAGTAAACTGTACCAGTACTTCAATGCTACTGACTGGTATCTTTTTCAGTAAACTGTACCAATACTTCATTTTTAGGTCTGGAAACTGGTAACCATTTATGAGTGAGATCTTGTTCATCAATTAATGATACTTTGAATTTGGTCAACATTTCATCAATGATAGTCTACAATAAAGAAAGCATACTATTTGTATGATGATTGATTGAGTTATTGCTGTTTCAAATTTTTCACAATGTTTTAATTAAAAAATTCTTTAACTCTAAATCTGTTATGACTGGCTTTGGTTTCATCAACTATATTTATACTGTGGATTCATTTATTTTTATGGGTACCAATTTTCGTGGATTAAAGAAAACTTACATTTTCGTTGATATTTAATTTCGTGGTTTTGACGAAGTCTGCATACAAGCCTATGGAAAATTTGTTATTCGTTGAACATTTAATTTCGTGGTTCACCTGTACCCACAAAATCCACGAAAATTGGTATCCAACGAATAATAATGAATCCACAGTAATCCAATTCAATTTTATATAAAAATAAGTAGATGTGGTATGATTGCCAATCAGACAACTATCTACAAGAGTTAAATTTTTCTCTTATTTGTTAACACAGTATATTTTGAGTTTTGTTCATAATCGTGTATGTGTAGTGGATTTCTCAATTGGCTGTTATCCTCTGTTATATCTTATTCTGTATAACTATCCATAATTACCATCTATACAAAGAGATTCTCCTAAAACTTGAAATATTAAATATTTTTAAGAATTTAACATGTAAACACTTACATCAATTACACACCAAACTAATTTCTGTCCTAAGCAACATCTAGGTCCTGCACCAAAGCAAAATAACTTGTCTTTGTCATTTATATTTCTGAAAAATAAGGACTTAAATTATTTCTGACTAAAATTAGTCCATACATCTGAATTTTTTTTGTAAACAAAGCATGGTCATGCGATAACTTACATGGGATTGCTGCAATTTATTTTCTTACAAATTTTATATATGTGATCAAAAGATCACAACATGACACATTTTTCCATATTTGCCCTTATTTCAGCCTTTGACCCACATATATAAATAGGGCCTTGTATCATCCTTTGAACTCAACTGTATCAAACCATTGAGCCTTTGTCATCCTTCCAACACAATCAGGCTATTGTCCAATATGGGAGTCTCAGGATTATACCAGGGGCGATATGAAAAATGCAACCTAATCTACAATTCCCATACTTTGAAATTCAATTATGGTGTCAAGTTTCCCTTCTATTTGCTGGCTTTGTTATTCCCATGAAATAGACATAAATGCAACCAGGCTAAATATCATTCAGAGAAAACATATTATTTGCAAATCATCACAATAAAGAACTCTTAAATTTACCAATATATTGTCTGAAAATCATTGGGAAAAAAGGTTTTAAAATTGGATCTCACATGATAGGATTTGATAAAAAAAAAATTCCCCAAAAAGTTACTTTTCTATCCATCGTTGTGGTTGAAACTGGTGAGGATCATCAAATACCTCAGGATCTCTGTGTGTAGCATATGTAGAAAATACAATGGCATTACCCTTCTGGAACTTCTGTTTATTAACCTCAACATCCTGCAAAATAAAGCACAACTGAATTAAAAAAATATGTCCATTTACAATGTGTACTACAAAATTAAATTAAAAATACAAATACTGCTGTTATTAAGACATTAGAAAATGATCTGGCACTGTAAACTAGACTTTAGAAAATTATTGTAAACAAGACAATAATAAGTTTGCTTTTAGGGGTTTGTAGGATTTGTAGTTGGTTTATTTTTTGTCTTACCAGGAACCATATGTGAAACTAGAAAAAAACAAGTTCCAAATTCATACCCCATCTTGTGTAGAAATATAAAAGCATTGTTGTTCTTTGTAAAACACCTTAAATTATTCAGATGCATAAAAAAAGAATAGAAAATGCACAATGACATTATGTTTTACAGATTCTAGAAATAGGAGGAGTTGAATATACAAGATGTCTACTCCTTTTGTAGATTTGTCCTGAAACTAGAAAAATGCTTGTTTTAGGCCCCTTTTTTGCCCCTAATTCCTAAACGGTTGGGACCATCACCCCCAAAAAACAATCCCAACCTTTCTTTAGTGGTTGTATTGTAATAAACGAATAAAACTCTATACTTTGCGTTGTGTTACTTTTATGATCAAAATCTATATCGAAGGCGCCCATACAAAGGTACAAATTAACGTCATAAACATAAGACGTAAATACGGGAAACATAACGTTAACATTTGCAGTATATTCTCAACAGTGGTATTGAATCTAATGGTAAAATTTCATAGAGATCCATACACTTAAACTTAAGTTATTGTCCGAAAACCAAATGTCTTCGGACGAGGACGACATTATAGCAATATACGACCCCAAAAATTACAATATGAGGTTCGCAATACCATGTGATTATTTAGATTCTGTGAAAGTCTCGTTGACATCACGTCTCTGGAAATGAAGAGTTGAGAATACAGAGTTAGGATTGAGGAATGAATGAATGTAAAAACAAATGGTCAAAAACAAATATCACTATCTATCATTCCTTCAGTAAGGGCAAGTATTATAATCAGATCTAATCTTAATTGTATACATGTGGATCAATATTGGCAGTAGAGATTTTATCCCATCGAATAATATAATGCTGTAATATACTTATAGTAAGGTAAAGATACTATACAGAGTTTCTCAAACTGAAATGTGTTATGGAATTACAATTCAAAAGAAAAAAAAATCAAAAGTTTGGTTACTTGTAACCCCATGCCTAAGGTTCACAAATGCATAGTTTCCAGTGTTTTGTACAAAGGCTGAACTCAACACTAACAACCCTTGCTATTCTTTGTTTTCAGTATTGTATTTTGTGTAGTTAAATTTTCAGTGTCTGTATGGCTATAACTGGTAACAGTCTTGTCTAACAGATTTACATATGGTTTATGAATTTGGTTAAGTCTTAGAGTAAGACAAGAGACATTACCAATCAACTATTGTATGATGACTTATTACTAAATATAATGTATATGGCTCATCTATGTTTATTTTGCATGAGTAACAAGGAGGATGTCACTAATAGAGCAGGAACTGTTGACCCTTTGGGAGCACCTGAGCTCATCCCAGTTTTTGGTCGGGTTTAGCTCTCTTTATTGTTGTGTGCACTTATGTTGTTGTCTGCTTGTCTGTTTTTCTTTTGGCAATGGTGTTGTCTGCCTGTCTGTTTTTCTTATGGCCCATGGTGTAGTCTGTTTTTCTTTTGGCCCATAATGATGTCTGTTTTTCTTTTGGCCCATAGTGTTGTCTGTTTTTCTTTTGGCCCATAATGTTGTCTGTTTTTCTTTTGGCTGACTTTTGGCCCATAGTGTAGTCTGTTTTTCTTTCTTCCATAGTATTGTCTGTTTTTCTTTTGGTCCATGGTATTTTCTATTTTTCTTTTGGTCCATGGTGGTCTGTTTTTCTTTCTTCCATGGTTTTGTCTCTTTTTCTTTCGGTCCATGGTGTTGTCTGTTTTTCTTTTGGTCCATGGTGTTGTCTGCTTTTCTTTTGGCTGACTTTTGGCCCATAGTGTAGTCTGTTTTTTCTTTTGGCCCATAGTATTGTCTGTTTTTCTTTTGGCCCATAATGATGTCTGTTTTTCTTTTGGCCAATAGTGTTGTCTGTTTTTCTTTTGGCCCATAATGTTGTCTGTTTTTCTTTTGGCTGACTTTTGGCCCATAGTGTAGTCTGTTTTTCTTTCTTCCATAGTATTGTCTGTTTTTCTTTTGGCCCATAATGTTGTCTGTTTTTCTTTTGGCCCATGGTGTTGTCTATTTTTCTTTTGGCCCATGGTGTTGTCTGTTTTCTTTCGGTCCATGGTATTTTCTGTTTTTCTTTCAGTCCATGGTGTTGTCTATTTTTCTTTCCATCCATGGTGTTGTCTGTTTTACTTTTGGCCCATGGTGTAGTCTGTTTTTCTTTTGGCCCATAATGTTGTCTGTTTTTCTTTTGGCCCACTTTTGGCTCATAGTGTTGTCTGTTTTTCTTTTGGCCTATAATGTTATCTGGTTTTTTTTGGCCCTTAGTGTTGCCTGTTTTTCTTTTGGCCCATAATGATGCCTGTTTTTCTTTTGGCCCATGGTGTTGTCTTTTTTTCTTTTAATCCATGGTATTGTCTGTTTTTCTTTCGGTCCATGGTATTGTCTGTTTTTCTTTCAGTCCATGGTGTTGTCTATTTTTCTTTTTGGTCCATGGTGGTCTGTTTTTCTTTCTTCCATGGTTTTGTCTGTTTTTCTTTCGGTCCATGGTGTTGTCTGTTTTTCTTTTGGTCCATGGTGTTGTCTGTTTTTCTTTTGGCTGACTTTTGGCCCATAGTGTAGTCTGTTTTTCTTTTGGCCCATAGTATTGTCTGTTTTTCTTTTGGCCCATAATGATGTCTGTTTTTCTTTTGGCCCATAGTGTTGTCTGTTTTTCTTTTGGCCCATAATGTTGTCTGTTTTTCTTTTGGCTGACTTTTGGCCCATAGTGTAGTCTGTTTTTCTTTTGGCCCATAGTATTGTCTGTTTTTCTTTTGGCCCATAATGTTGTCTGTTTTTCTTTTGGCCCATGGTGTTGTCTATTTTTCTTTTGGCCCATGGTGTTGTCTGTTTTCTTTCGGTCCATGGTATTTTCTGTTTTTCTTTCAGTCCATGGTGTTGTCTATTTTTCTTTCCATCCATGGTGTTGTCTGTTTTACTTTTGGCCCATGGTGTAGTCTGTTTTTCTTTTGGCCCATAATGTTGTCTGTTTTTCTTTTGGCCCACTTTTGGCTCATAGTGTTGTCTGTTTTTCTTTTGGCCCATAATGTTATCTGTTTTTTTTTGGCCCTTAGTATTGCCTGTTTTTCTTTTGGCCCATAATGATGCCTGTTTTTCTTTTGGCCCATGGTGTTGTCTTTTTTTCTTTTAATCCATGGTATTGTCTGTTTTTCTTTCGGTCCATGGTATTGTCTGTTTTTCTTTCAGTCCATGGTGTTGTCTATTTTTCTTTTGGTCCATGGTGGTCTTTTTTTCTTTCTTCCATGGTTTTGTCTGTTTTTCTTTCGGTCCATGGTGTTGTCTGTTTTTCTTTTGGTCCATGGTGTTGTCTGTTTTTCTTTTGGCCCATAATGATGCCTGTTTTTCTTTTAATCCATGGTATTGTCTGTTTTTCTTTCTTCCATGGTATTGTCTGTTTTTCTTTCAGTTTATGGTGTTGTCTGTTTTTCTTTTGGTCCATGGTGTTGTCTGCTTTTCTTTTGGCTGACTTTTGGCCCATAGTGTAGTCTGTTTTTTCTTTTGGCCCATAGTATTGTCTGTTTTTCTTTTGGCCCATAATGATGTCTGTTTTTCTTTTGGCCAATAGTGTTGTCTGTTTTTCTTTTGGCCCATAATGTTGTCTGTTTTTCTTTTGGCTGACTTTTGGCCCATAGTGTAGTCTGTTTTTCTTTCTTCCATAGTATTGTCTGTTTTTCTTTTGGCCCATAATGTTGTCTGTTTTTCTTTTGGCCCATGGTGTTGTCTATTTTTCTTTTGGCCCATGGTGTTGTCTGTTTTCTTTCGGTCCATGGTATTTTCTGTTTTTCTTTCAGTCCATGGTGTTGTCTATTTTTCTTTCCATCCATGGTGTTGTCTGTTTTACTTTTGGCCCATGGTGTAGTCTGTTTTTCTTTTGGCCCATAATGTTGTCTGTTTTTCTTTTGGCCCACTTTTGGCTCATAGTGTTGTCTGTTTTTCTTTTGGCCTATAATGTTATCTGGTTTTTTTTGGCCCTTAGTGTTGCCTGTTTTTCTTTTGGCCCATAATGATGCCTGTTTTTCTTTTGGCCCATGGTGTTGTCTTTTTTTCTTTTAATCCATGGTATTGTCTGTTTTTCTTTCGGTCCATGGTATTGTCTGTTTTTCTTTCAGTCCATGGTGTTGTCTATTTTTCTTTTTGGTCCATGGTGGTCTGTTTTTCTTTCTTCCATGGTTTTGTCTGTTTTTCTTTCGGTCCATGGTGTTGTCTGTTTTTCTTTTGGTCCATGGTGTTGTCTGTTTTTCTTTTGGCTGACTTTTGGCCCATAGTGTAGTCTGTTTTTCTTTTGGCCCATAGTATTGTCTGTTTTTCTTTTGGCCCATAATGATGTCTGTTTTTCTTTTGGCCCATAGTGTTGTCTGTTTTTCTTTTGGCCCATAATGTTGTCTGTTTTTCTTTTGGCTGACTTTTGGCCCATAGTGTAGTCTGTTTTTCTTTTGGCCCATAGTATTGTCTGTTTTTCTTTTGGCCCATAATGTTGTCTGTTTTTCTTTTGGCCCATGGTGTTGTCTATTTTTCTTTTGGCCCATGGTGTTGTCTGTTTTCTTTCGGTCCATGGTATTTTCTGTTTTTCTTTCAGTCCATGGTGTTGTCTATTTTTCTTTCCATCCATGGTGTTGTCTGTTTTACTTTTGGCCCATGGTGTAGTCTGTTTTTCTTTTGGCCCATAATGTTGTCTGTTTTTCTTTTGGCCCACTTTTGGCTCATAGTGTTGTCTGTTTTTCTTTTGGCCCATAATGTTATCTGTTTTTTTTTGGCCCTTAGTATTGCCTGTTTTTCTTTTGGCCCATAATGATGCCTGTTTTTCTTTTGGCCCATGGTGTTGTCTTTTTTTCTTTTAATCCATGGTATTGTCTGTTTTTCTTTCGGTCCATGGTATTGTCTGTTTTTCTTTCAGTCCATGGTGTTGTCTATTTTTCTTTTGGTCCATGGTGGTCTTTTTTTCTTTCTTCCATGGTTTTGTCTGTTTTTCTTTCGGTCCATGGTGTTGTCTGTTTTTCTTTTGGTCCATGGTGTTGTCTGTTTTTCTTTTGGCCCATAATGATGCCTGTTTTTCTTTTAATCCATGGTATTGTCTGTTTTTCTTTCGGTCCATGGTATTGTCTGTTTTTCTTTCAGTTTATGGTGTTGTCTATTTTTCTTTTGGTCTATGGTGTTTTTCTTTTGTCCATGGTTTTGTCTGTTTTTCTCTCGGTCCATGGTGTTGTCTGTTTTTCTTTCGGTACATAATGTTGTCTGTTTATCTTTCATTCCATTGTGTTGTCTGTTTTTCTTTTAGTCATGGTTTTGAAAACATTTGCTGTTGATGATTTGAAAGATAAAATGTCTTCTCTAAAAAATAGGTTGATAATTATGGAAAACCCCTTACCTTATTTATAACTCTCCTGCCACCAAAAAATGGAGGATACATTCTCTGCACTTCTAACATATACACTTCTCTTAAACCTCTGTCTGTAAGAATGTTTTCTTGTAGGTCCTGTTAGAAATAAAAGCTATTTTCAATAAGATCTTTCAATAGCAATTTCTGTTTCCCTAATTTGTTGTTAAAAGATGTTGACTGACAGTATGAATGTATTTTTATTGGATGGTCAGAATGGTTTTCCTACTCCTGTGATTATACAGTTTCATAGCTTGTAAATAAAGACTAGAGTGCACACGCTGAAATGTCTCGCCTGCTTTACTACCATTGATTTTATGTTAATAGCCCTAAATATAAAGTTTTACTACAAGTATCACATTAACTTATCATGATCCAAGAAAATGAGGTCAAGGTCAGATAAATCATGCAAGAAATAAAGGTACACCTTACAATCATTCAATACATTGAATATAGTTGACCTATTGCTTGTAGAATACAAGAAACAGACCAAACCATGAAAACTTTATATTGACCAATGAACCATGAATATCAGGTCAAGGTCAGATGAGCCCTGCCAGACAGACATGTACACTTTACAATCATTCCATGGATCAAATATAGTTGACGTATCAAATATAGTATCTAAGAAACAAACTTAACTACGAAAACTTATCATTGACCAATGAACCATGAAAATGAGGTCAAGGTCAGATGATACCTGCCAGACAGATATATAAACATTACAATCATTCCATACACCAAACATAGTTCACCTATTGCTTATATTTTAAGAAAAACAGACCAAAACACAAAAACTTAACATTGAGCAATGAACCATGAAAATGAGGTCAAGGTCAAATAAAACCTGCCAGACTGCAATGTATATCATAAAATATATCCATACACCAAATATAGCTGACCTATTGCATACAGTATTAGAGAAATAGACCAAAACATAAAACTTAACTTTAACCACTGAACCATGAAAATGAGGTCAAGGTCAGATGACACCTGCCAGTTGGACATGTACACCTTACAATCATTCCATAAACTAAATATAGTAGACCTATTGCTTATAGTATCTGAGATATGGACTTGACCACGAAAACTTAACCTTGTTCACTGATCCAAGAAATGAGGTTGAGGTCAAGTGAAAACTGTCTGACAGGCATGAATACTGTGCAAGGTATGCACATACCAAATATAGTTATCCTATTACTCATAACAAGAGAAAAATTAACGTTACAAAAAAATCTTAACTTTTTTTCAAGTAGTCACTGAACTATAAAAATGAGGTCAAGGACATATGACAAACTGAAATTTCATAACATAAGGCATCTATATACAAAGTATGAAGCATCCAGGTCTTCTACCTTCTGAAATATTAAGCTTTTAAGTAGTAAGTTAACGCCGCCATGGCTGCCGCCGCCGGATCACTATCCCTATGTCGAGCTTTCTGCGTCAAAAGTCGCAGGCTTGACAAAAATCATTAAGAAGACTGACATACTACATTATATAATAAACACTGGTAAATGACATTACCTGATTATACATCAAAATTTTCTTTTTTGAAAAAAAAATTGGTAATTTTCTATAATTGCACATACAGTATATTGCTTACATGCCAGTAATCCATTAGTTGTGTACCTTTAAGGGGAAAGGGTCTAAGAGACTTTGTAAATAGAATATGATTACCGGTACTTGATTATTATGGTTTATTTACCTGTTGCTTGGCCATTTCTATCATGAATGATGTAAGTAATGAAGATAGTGCTTTGGGTACCAAGGCAGAGGTAAATAACAGCAGATGATTGTTCACAAATATTCCATTATCTCCCTTGGGTACTTCCTGTATCTTCTTTGGAAAATGACGACTAGTACTTGTCTTTTTGTTTTCAATTATCTCAAGTAGTTTTGCCTGTAAAAGTAACAAATCTCTTATTTCATTGTTATTGTATACAGAAATAGTACTTTTACTCATGGATTAACATTTTAAGTGGTTTTTGAAAACGTTGTTGATAATATTTGGTTTTTCAATGAACAGTGGTTTCAGATTACATACAACAAATTGAAAGGGAAATATGTTTTGTTGGATGTCAAAATTGTGTTTTTTTTAGAAGCCAAGTAATCCCTTGAAATTCCTACATTATAAAAGTAGTTTCACACTACAGTTTAAAACCATTAATTATATTACTGGTGTAAAATAAAAGAACAAATTCTGAAGTTGACTGCTATATGTTCCAAGCAGTTACATGAATGGGACATAAAACTTTGTTTTATGTTTGAAAATTCCACTGTATGACAATGATTCATCTAAGACTAATACCACTTCCAGTATCCAAAGCAATTCACATTAATCTTTTAATCAATAGTTATATCTTTTTTTCTTGTTAACTTCAATAAAATACTGTAAATTCAGAAATTATTGCGTGCATTTATTATTGCCATTTTGTCATTTTAGCCTAAAATGCGATTCTAATTTTAGCGATATTGAGAAAAATCTTGTTTAATTCATATAAAAAATTTCAAAATGCGAGTTTAAATTATTGCCATTATAACCCTGTCGCATTTTTCGCAATAATAAAAACATCAGTATTTCATTAGATTCATTAAGGAAACTAGATGTGTCGTATGACATGAATGGCCCTCATTGCAAAAAAAGCTTGAAGCCATTTTAAGAGTGGAAATTTGAAATTCTGTATAACTGTTATTTTCATGATATTTTCAAAGACCAAAGCATGCAATTTCAGCACAAATCAGTGGAGCGGAATCAGACGTAAACTCAATCTGTTAATCATCATAGTAGACTCACATACTAAAAATCAGCTCAATATGTGAATGCGTTTAGAAAAAAAGTCTGTATAATTGTTATCTTCACGAAATTTTCGGATTCCAAAGCCTGTAATTTCAGCAAAAATCAATAGAGCGAAATCAAATGTAAACTCTATCTGTAACTCATCATAGTAGATTTCATACTAAAAATCAGCTGAAAATGTGTGAAGGTGTTTTGAAAAAAGTCTGCATGAATGTTATTGTCATAAAATGTTCAAAGTTCAAATCCTGTTGTTTCGGCTAAAATCAGCAGAGCGGTACCAAAACGTTATCTGGATCTGTAACTCATCATAGTAGAACTCACATACTAAAAATCAGCTCAATATATACAGGCGTTGAAAAAAAATCTCCATAACTGCTATTTTCAAAGCCTGTAATTTCGGCAAAAATCAGAGGAGCAGAACCAAATGCAAACTCAGTCTGTAACTCATCATAGTAGACACACATTCTAATAAAATGCTTCGATGAGCACAGCCAGATACGACTGCAGAGGTCTAACCCTGAAAGTTGGGGCAAGTTTGGACACAATATTCAAGCTTGATACTGTCTGAATTTGGATTGTGATTAAATTTTTGACATAATATAGGTTTCTGACACAAAATAAATGTGGTCAAAGATCTTAAAAATTTGAAATCGGACATTTAATTTACCTAGAATGGTCTGATATCCAAAATCTAACAACATGGTTAGATTCAGCATATAAAAAAACACCAAAAATTTAATTTTAGTTGAAATCAAACAAAGTTTAATTTTAGACCCTTCAAACCTTAATATGGACTAATTTGAAAACAGGGCCCAAAATAAAAAATCTAAATGCACAATAAGATTCAGCATATCATACAGCTGCAAATATTCAGTTTTTGATGAAATCAAACAAAGTTTAATCTTGGACCCTTTTGACCTCAATGTAGACCAATTCAAAAATGGGGCCCAATATCCAAAAAAGTTATACAAGGTTAGAACCCCCAAAAATTAAAGATTTTAAATTAATCCCATTGAAATTGGTTAAAAGATTTGTACTTATTTTCAATTGAAGATTTCTTGCTATTGCACAATACTGTGCAATTTAAGATTTCTTGCTATTGTGCAATACTGTGCTATTGTGTAATACAGTGCAATTGAAGATTTCTTACTATTGTGCAATACTGTGCTATTGCGTAATACAGTGCAATTGAAGATTTCTTGCTATTGTGCAATACTGTGCAATTGAAGATTTCTTGCTATTGCGCAATACTGTATAATTGAAGATTTCTTGCTATTGCGCAATACTGCAATTGAAAATTTCTTGCTATTACGCAATACTGTGCAATTGAAGATTTCTTGCTATTGAGCAATACTGTGCAATTGGAGATTTCTTGCTATTGCGCAATACTGTGCAATTGAAGATTTCTTGCTATTGCCCAATACAGTGCAATTGAAGATTTCTTGCTATTGCGCAATACTGTGCTATTGCTCAATACTGTGCTATTGTGCAATACTGTGCTATTGCTCAATACTGTGCTATTGTGTGCAATACTGTGCTATAGCGCAATACTGTGCAATCATTTGAAATTTCAAAAATTTTGAAGAAAAAAAATATGAACCCCCAAATAAAAAAAATTGGAAAAAAAAAATCCCCCCAAACTTTTTGAACCCCCTCCCCCTTGGAGTAATTTCCCCCAAAATTAATCCCAGACTTCCCTTTGTGGAATGGAACCTTGTACAATTTTAGAGAGATCCATACACTTAAACACAAGTTACTGTCTGGAAACTAAAAAAATGCTTGTTTTTGGACCCTTTGTTGCCCCTAATTCCTGAACCGTTGGGGCAATTACCCCCAAACTCAATCCCAGCCTTCCCTTTGTGATATGGAAGTTTATGGTACAATTTCTGAGAGATCTATACACTAACACACAAGTTATTGTCTGGAAACTACAATAAACTGCTTCGCTGAGCGCAGCTGGATACGCCGGCAGAGGTCCAACCCTGAACAGTTGGGGCAAAAATGGACACAATATTCAAGCTTGATACAGGTCTGAATTTGGATTGTAATTAAATATTTGACATATTATAGGTTTCTGAATAAATGTAGTCAAAGAACTTGAAATCGGCTATAGGAATTGAATTTATATTCAATTAAAGATTTCTTGCAGTTGTGCAATACACTGTGCTGTTGCGCAATACTTAGTAAATCTGTTGTCAGACTATAAACAAATAAAGTTCAATTTCTTCTTAATGTCATATTTGAAATTTATGAAAATCAATAGGGAGATTATATCAATAGCTATAAATAATTCACCAAAGTTTCATGAGAACTGCTGAAAGCATTTTTGAGTTGTTGTCCAAAAACTGGAAAATCCCCCCTTTTTTAATGAATAAAACCCCATAACTCAGAAATGTAAAATCTAAAATTTATAAAATTCTAAAGAGAGCTTACATCAACAGATATAAACAATTCACCAAAGTTTCATGAGAACTGCTGAAAGCATTTTTTAGTTATTGTCGGAAAACTGGAAAATCCCCCTTTTTTTATGAATAAAACCCTGTAACTCGGAAACGTAAAATCTTAAATTTATAAAAAATGAAAGGAAGCTCACGTCAATAGATATAAACAATTCACCAAAATTTCTTGCAAGTTGGTGAAAGCATTCTTGAGTTAATGTCGGAACACTGGAAAATCCCTTTTTTAATGAATAAAACCCCAAAACTCGGAAACGGTAAATCTGAAATTTATAAAAAACAAAAGGGAGCTCACGTCAATAGATATAAACAATTCACCAAAGTTTCATGCATATTGGTTAAAGCTTTTTTTGAGTTAATGTCTGACATGTTGACGACGGACGGACGGACAGAAGGACGGTCAACGGTATACCATAATACGTCCCGTAAACGGGCGTATAAAAATGCTTGTTTTTGGCCCCTTATTCCTAAACTGTTGGTACCATAACCCCAAAATCAATCCCAACCTTCTTTTTGTGGTATTGAACCTTCTGGTAAAATTTCTTAGAGATCAATTCACTTAAACTAAAGTAATTGTCCGGAAACCAAATGTGTCTTCGGACGATGCCGACGACAACGACACCATAGCATTATATGACGCAAAAAATTTTTTGCGGTCGTATAAAAATCAGCTCAATAAATGAAGATGTTTAGAAAAAAAATTTGTAAGGGTTCCGCGGAACCCAGTGTCTCACCTACTTTTTCTGTTAATCGCAGGCTCAACAAAAATGAGGAAGTAAATCAATAAAAATATTCCTCTTGATACTATCTTTTGATTGCAAGAAGCTTCTGTCCAAGTTTGGTAAAAATCCAGGATAGTTTATGAATCTAATAAATGTTTAAAAACTTTAACTGCAGACTGAATGTAATGTTAACTGGAAGAAAACAAAATTTCCTTCTAGATACTAGCATTTGATCATAAACAAGCTTCTGTCCAAGTTTGGTACAAATCAAAAATAGTATAAGAAAGTTATTAAAATTTTAAAAACTTTAACCACAGAGTGAATGTGTTGTTTCCTGGCAGAAAATCTAAGTCCATTTAAAAGTAAAATAAGGAAAAAATGGATTTTTTTTTAACAAAATTTACTTCTGGATACTATCTTATGATCATAAACAAGCTTCTCTCCAAGTTTGGTAGAAATCCAGGATAGTTTAAGAAAGTTTCAAAAACTTTAACCACAGAGTGAATATTTGTGGACGCCGCCGACGACAACGACGCCGACGGAATGTCGGATTGGTATGTCTCGCTTTTTCGACTAAAGTCGAAGGCTCGACAAAAATCTGTATAACTGCTATTTTCATGAAATTTTCAAAGTCCAATGCCCATAATTTCAGCAAAAATCAATGGAGCAAAACCAAATGTAAACTCGATCTGTAACTCATCATAGTAGACTCAGATACTAAAAATCAGCTCAATATGTGAGGGTGTTTAGAAAAAAAGTCTGTATAACTGCTATTTTCATGAAATTTTCATAGTCCAAAGTCCGTAATTTCATAAAACAATATGGAGCTAAATCAAAAGTAAACTGGATCTGTAACTCATCATAGTAGACTCACATTCTAAAAATCAGCTCAATATATGAAGGTGTTTAGAAAAAAGTCTGTATAACTGCTATTTTCATGAAATTTACAAAATCCAAGCTGCCTGTAATTTCAGCAAAAATCAATGGTGCAAAACCAAATGTAAACTCAATCTGTAACTCATCATAGTAGACTCACAAACTAAAAATTTGTAACTCACCTACTATTGCTGCTGTCAGAGTAAAAGTGTAATGTTGACTTAAAAAGTGAGTCCATTTATCAGCAAAATATAGAATTTAAAAAAAAATTTGAACTTTTTCTTTAGATGCTATTACTTGGTCTTGAAGATAAGCTTCTGTCCAAGTTTCATAACAATCCATGAAATGTTACAAACTTATCATGTCAAAAAAAATGAATCCCAGACTTCTGTAACTGTTAACTGTAAAAAAACTGAGTCCATCTATCAGAAAAATACTGAAAATGAAAAATAATTTTCAAAAGTTTGCTTCAAACATTATCTCTGAATCATAAAAAAGCTTTTGCCAAAGTTTCATAAAATTCTATGAAGGTTTGACAAAGTATTTGATGTGTTACAAACTTTAACCCCAGACTGTATCTACTTGTTAACTGTAAAAAAACTAAGTCCATTTATCAGTAAAATACAGAAAAATGAATATAAATATTTTCCAAATTTTGCTATGGATACTGTATTTTGGTCATCAACAAGCTTCTGTCCAAATTTCATAGCATTCCATGAAGGTTTGACAAAATTATTGATGACTGAAAAACTTCTTAAAACCTCAGACTGAATCTGAATGTTAACTGTAAAAAAACTAAGTCCATTTATCAGTAAAATACGGAAAAATAAAAATAAATATTTTCAAAATTTTGCTATGGATACTGTATTTTGGTCATAATCAAGCTTCTGTTCAAATTTCATAACATTCCATGAAGGTTTGACAAAATTATTGATGACTTAAAAAACTTTAACCACAGACTGAACCTAAATGTTGACGTCGCCCACTAGAATCTAGGATCGTGTCTTGCTTTTGTGACATAAATGTTGCAGGCTCGACAAAAATCAGCTCAATATGTGAGGGTGTAAAGAAAAAATGTCTGTAAAACTGCTATTTTCAAAGTCCAAAGCCCGTAATTTCAGCAAAAAACAATGGAGCCAAACCAAATGTAAACTCGATACTAAAAATCAGCTCAATATGTGAAGGCGTTTAGAAAAAAAGTCTGTAGAACTGTTTGTTGCAGAATGACAGACTGATGGCATGACTGATAAGGGTAAAACTATATGGCCCCAACAACTTTGTTGTTCATAATAAAAATCCAGGATGGTTTATGAATCTAATAAATGTTTTAAAAACTTTAACTGCAGACTGTATATAATGTTAACTGGAAGAAAAACTAAGTCCATTTATAAGTAATATACGGAAAAACAGGAAATAAATTTTTACAAAATTTCCTTCTAGATACTTGCTTCTGTCCAAGTTTGGTACAAATCCAAGATAGTTTAAGAAAGTTATTAAAAGTTTTAAAACTTTAACCACAGAGTGAATGTAATGTTAACTGGCAGAAAAACTTAGTCCATTTATAAGTAAAATACGGATAAACAGGATTTTTTTTTTTACAAAATGTCCTTCTAGATACTATCTTATGATCATAAACAAGCTTCTGTCCAAGTTTGGTACAAATCCAGGTTAGTTTAAGAAAGTTATTAAAATTTCAAAAACTTTAACCACAGAGTGAATATTTGTGGACGCCGCCGCTGCCGACGGAATGTAGGTTCGCTATGTCTCGCTTTTGTGACAAAAGTCGCAGGCTTGACAAAAATGAAAGTGAAAAAGAAAATGTTTAATAGTCAAAAGGTTAAAAGACAATGTACAGAAACCAACAGATATTTTATTGAAATACAAACCTTTGCATCTAAAGCTTTACTAAAAGTAGAGGCTCCACCGATAGGAAGTTTTAGATTCACTGGCACTGATATTATTCCTATAAAAATAATGCATAATTATAGCAGGTTTTGTTGAAGTTGACATTCTTTTAATAAAAGCATGCTTCCTTAGTGTAAGAACATTCACAGATTTGTGAATATGTTCCCACCTCTTCCAGCTTCAAGTCATATGAAACAAGTTTCTTGTAATTATAATATTTTTGAACTTATTAAACCAATGCATGCATATATACTAAACCGAGTCCTGTATGCATGTTTTTTACATTTATTACGAATCTATAACGTATTATCAACACATACTATTTCATTGTGATTGTTGATCACAAGCCAATTAACTTTTGAGTATGTTCTGAAGTTTACTGAATCGTGACATTGATAAACAATCAACACAGAGCATTTGGAGCACATAAAAATTAAATTGATAGAGCCATGATATTTTTATTTTATTTTTCATGCATTCCCATTTGTTAACCAAACTTTTCTTTAACATGTGTTAAATGATTTAATGTGTTTAATTTGTTCTCTGAAAATCAGTTATTTTAAATATTTACCTTGCATGTTAACTGTGCAGTGGCCAAAAAACTTAAGGTCACTGCATACGTGAAAATATTTGAGAATTAGAGTACAGGAAGACAATAATTCAATAGCTGTACATTTATGAAGATTTTGATAATATAAAGGATTTTCTTTTGCAAGAAAGTTCACATATACTTGTTTTATAGTAAAACTTAGCCATTCAAGTATATAAAACATATTCAACTTTTATTTTTAATTTGAAGTTTCATATGACTTTAAATAATAAGATATGTCTCCTAAAGGCCAATCATGCTTTCAGTCTTTATTTTATTTTAGAAAACTTTAAAAGGGCTTACATTTGTATAGAAATGCAAATATATTCTGAAAATAAGAATTTGACTTTCAAATTTTAACAACTTAAACTCACCATGCCAATGAGTGGTTGTCAAGGAGACAATAGTTTCTGTCAATTCTGTCATTGTATCAAAATCAATACCAAGAAACAAACTAAGACAAACTTCTATACACATCCTCTTTAATGTTTGGTACAAACATACAGGATTCCTGCAAGTATTCAATAAAAATTATCAACAAGGATTCTAAAACAGGGGAGACAATTTGAACTGCATTATCATTTATTTTAGGTGGTGATGATTTTCAAAATTATATTTAATTACAAATCCAGTTGTATGTTGATTATTTTTTGTTATTTCAACAGATATTTAACTAGAGGCTCGAAAGATCCTGTGTCGCTCACCTGTATCTTCAACAATGGCAATTTTTTTAGTAAAAATTAGCATGAAAGGGGAACAACTCTATTAAGAGTTAGCTGACAATTTCAGTAATTTTGACATATTTGTAGATCTTATCCTGCTGATAATTTTTCCTTTCCAAAGTTTCTATTTACCTATTATAGTTTTCAAAATGATAGGCAAAAAATGTAAAAAATTATCATTAAAGGGCAATAACTCCAAAGCGAGTCTACTGAAGATTTAGGCCCTTTATGCTTATTTGTAGGTCTTGTCTTGCTGATCATTTGTGCTATTTTCAGTTTCTATCTATCTATTACAGTTTTCAATATAATGGGCAATAACGGGAAAAATAATCATGAAAGGGCAATAACTTGAATAAGGTGTCGACTAACGATTTTGGTCATGTTGACTTATTTGTAGATCTTGTCTTGTTGATCATTTTTGCTTAGTATTGTTTCTATCTATCTATTATAGTTTTTAAGATATAAGCCAAAAACCGCCAAAAACTGGTAAATATCGTCATTAAAGGGCAATAACTCTAATAAGGAGTGGTCTGACAATTTTGGTGAAGTTGATATATTAGTAGATCTTGTCTTGCTAATCATTTTTGCTTCGAAAGTTTCTGTCTATCTATTATAATTTTCGAGATAATAGGAAAAAAATTTCTAAAATGGTAAAATAGTAATCTAAGGGCGATAACTCCTATAAGAAGTTGTCTGACAGTTTTGACGCAAATAGACAATAGGTAGAGCTCAATATTCTGAGTTTCAGAGGAGAAGATTTTTGTAAAAGTTAACAGACAATGACGGACGACAACGAACAACGACTGACGTCAAGTGATGAGAAAAGCTCACTTGGCCTTTTAGGCCAGGTGAGCTAAAAATAGTACAATTAAGTTATGAAATCTGCATTTTGTTGTTAGTTTCACTATGAATGTTTTAGGCAGTAATAATACAAAACTGACTGGAAAGGAGTGAGCACCTTATAATAGTCTTACAATGTCATTTTTAATTTGTAATGTTTAAAAATGAGATTTTTTTTTGTTTTGGCATATACTATATCTTTTATTTGTCGTAATTTTATCCTGCTGATACACATAATAAATATGGCTTCCACTAACAAAAGTTCCATTTGGAGCTACTGTGTTTAGAGGCCTCTTATGTCAGTATACCATTACTCTATACTCGCCCAATGAGATTTTTTTAATTTCAATTCTGCAAAATTCTTTTAAAGTAGTAAAATGTAAACTATACCATTTATTGTGTATAAACATCAGTCAGGGGTAATACTTGTAAGAGTAAATTCTAATTTACGGGTACAGGAAACAAATTTTTAAAGTAGTGTTATCTCCCTTAGTAGTATAGATTTCAATTTTTATTTAAATAAGCAAAAACTCATATGTTCTTCTCTTCTTTGTTTTCTCTTGCCTAAAATGCTGAAATTGGGTTTAACTGTCTGTCTTTAATAGTCAACTTTACTATTCAAACCAGTTCAAATTAATGGACACTGAAAATATTGGTCATTTGTCTGTTATTTTCACAGTTTGTTCTTATGTTGCTCTGTTACACCACTGTTCCAGGTTAGGGGAGGGTTCAGCCCTCACATACATACTTTAATTATCCTAGCCACATTCTTTATGTGCCTGTCCCAAGTCAGAAGCCTGTATTACAGAGGTTTTCTGTGGTTCATGTCTGTCATATTTGTTTTTCTTAAATTGTTTTGTTATAAATTAGGCTGTTAGTTTTCTCGTTTGAAGTGTTTCACATTTTTGTCAGAACAGGGCCTTTTATAGATGACTATACGTTATGGGTTTCCCTCTTGCACAGTTTCTTAACATCTGTGCTTTGTTTTGAGATAGAAGTTTGAACTTTAATTAAAAGTCATATAAACCAGGGACAACTTCCCGAAACTTTCTGGGTTGCTAAGAAGTATAAGGGGAGATTATTTATAACATACTGGTAGAATAAAAAATTTAAATCTGACAAATTTTCTTAAAAACGTAAAAAATTATTTGTATCATAAAGTATGTGAAAAGTCACTTAACAAGCATTAGGAGCCTGTTGTTCAGTGGTTGACGTTTATTGGTGTGGTTCATAAGTGTTTCTCATTTCTCCTTTTTTATATAGATTAGACCGTTGGTTTTCCAGTTTGAATTGTTTTACACTAGTCATTTTTGGGCCCTTTATAGCTTGCTGTTCGGTGTGAGCCAAGGTTCCATGTTGAAGGCCGTACTTTGACCTATAATTGTTTACTTTTTACACATTGTGACTTTGATGGAGAATTGTCTCGTTAGCACTCATACCATATCTTCTTACCGGTATTTATAATTACCTCTGACTGAGCATTTACAATGTTTTTGATTGCATCTGTAACTGAGGGATACAAGGACCTTTTTCAAGACATTATCATTGTAAATGAATGAGTTATAAAATAATTATATGCAAATTTAACATATCTTAAGAATAATGAATTTTATAAGATTGCTAAACAAGAATATGTGGCCATAGGAAACCATGCCCTGTTCACACTATCAAATTTCTATCTTTAATGAACCATGAATCAAGGTCAAAACCTGTATTTGGCATTTTTTAACGGGTACAAATCATAATGTTAAACCTATCTAAACTCAAACTTTGATCTGAAAGGGAATGGACGAAGCATGGAAGGACACACAGACATGAAAACATAATGCAATCATTTAGCATAAGCAGGCAGAAAGATACACTTTTATCAACACTTTAACAATGCTGTTAAACTATAAACACCTGTATTTAAAGGGATTATCTATACTTACTTTGTATTTATTTTTTGTATGAAGTTTGTCACCACATGCTTGATTGTACATTGATAAGTAGAAACAGCTTCAGGGGTAAACAGTAGGAGTAAAGATTCTCGTAAGGATACCATGTCCAAACCTAAAATTGATTAAAAAAAACTAACATGAATTTGATTTATTACCAGATTTGATGACTGGGCACATGATAATACACTACAGAAGTCAATGCCAAGCAGGATAAGCTTACTCATCCATAGCACTTGATACCACTCTAAGTCTAAATTCAGTTTGTACTGTGATAAGTTTTAGTTTTTGCATTCACTGTTAATATAAATCTGCTCTTGTTGGTCCATACATCTGATTTGTTAGGTTCCTCTATATTTTGCTGAATTTTATTTTTTTTAATCCTGAGCAACTGAAAGTGTGTTTATATGGAACATTTTAAGTATAACTGTACCCAGAAAAATTTGTGAAAGTGTATATATATGTATTTATATGCAGCTGTTTGCACCAAAAAAGTAAAATGAAAGAAATGCCCTAAGAGTCAAGAATACTCTAGATCCTACTGGAAATTAGTTTTGATAGATATGTCAGTATGACAAGATAGCATCCATCTGGACAATAATTGTGAGTCATCATTATATACTAATGTACAAAATAAAACAGATCAATATATGTCTGGAAAACTGATTGATATCAGAACTTCAGGAGTGTTGTATCAATTAGCCTAATTGTTCTTAACAACACTCAATTAAAGATTTGTATATCAAATATTGTCCTTATATTCTGAACTATATTCCTCTCACCATCAGTAAACAAAATGTTGTCACCATAGATATCTCCCATGAACATTTTATATCCAAGATCCAGGTTATCTGCCTCTTCTGAAAAAAATATATAAATACATGAATAAATGTACCTCTACTCAATTGTGAGGAAAAATATGTCCCTCTTCAAATCTTACAGGAGGTTAACCATTGGAGACAACTCTATATATCTTTTAGTTAGTAAAGTATGGGAGACAACTCTATAAATCTGGCAGTTAGTGATGTACTGGAGACAATTCTACAAATCTGGCAGTACATGAAGTATGGAAGACAACTTAAAATTAAAATGTATATCTTGTTAACTTTCAAGGAGCATGAGAATTCACACAAAAAAAACCCAACTTTTTCAATATTTTCATTATTTCATTGTCTGGAAACTCTGACTGCTAATAAAGATGTCAGATCACTTATAAATAGACATACTCTGAACTATTATAAAATTTTAACATAATTGTTAAACACTGACAATGAGCTAAAGGCAAATAAAAGTATTACCCATGCAGTAACTGTAACTTTATCCAAATGACAAAGAAAATAAGGTAAAGTCTATACATATTTGCACCTGTCCTAAGTCAGGAATCTGATGTACAGTAGTTGTCTGTTTATGTAGTTCATACGTGTTTCTCGTTTCTCGTTTTTATATAGATTAGCCCGTTGGTTTTCCCTTTTGAATGGTTTTACACTAGTAATTTTGGGGGCCCTTTATAGCTTGCTGTTCGGTGTGAGCCAATGCTCCGTGTTGAAGGCCATACCTTGACCTATAATGATTTACTTTTATAAATTGTTACTTGGATGGAGAGTTGTCTCATTGGCACTCATACCACATCTTCCTATATCTATGACATATGTCAGACATACATATATTCCTAACAACCTATCCAGATACTAAATATTGTTGACATTACATATATATGAACATGAACTAGGAACAGACCTTTCATCGCACTTAACCAAGACACAGGAGCATGAAATTGGATGAAGGCCATATGACATATATTTGATGGACTTCTATATTCCTTGAAACCAATCCATATACCAAATATTGTTACTGAGGAACAGACCTGTTAACATAACCTGCCCATTGGAGAAAAAAGTCAAGTTCAGGTAATAATGACTGGATCACAATGTCTTGATTCATAAGCAACCTCCATACAATAGTTTCCCAATAAATTAGGTCTAATTTCCATAGTAATTGAGTCATGGAGGGAGAAGGTGACAACCTCAACCGCAATGATATCTAAAACCAAAGAGATACAGATAGATTATCATGAAAAAGAATAATGAATTGATAAAGCATTGTAGAATCTTTAAAGGTATTCCACTGATTTTAAAATTAACTGATTAGTATTAATATAACAACAAACCTGTCAGTAAACATTTCAAAGTTTTGTTGCATCCAACAAACACTGTTGATTTATTCAGAAACCTTCCAATAAAATTTCTGTTCTTGTAGTAACTGATGTTTTTCTCCATAAACCTCACTGGGTCTTTATAGAAGTCATATGATCTGTCACCAAGCAAGGGCAATCCAGCTGATCCAGGGATGGTTGCCATGGTGATCTTTTTTAATATATTTTACTATCCCATCATGTCAGTTACTATGGTGTCATCCTAAACCAGAAAATAATAAAGAAATTAAAAGAATCAATCAGACCAGGATACAGTTAAAATGCAGTACAAATAGAAATAAAAATTAAAAATCAAACTAAAAGAGGACAGTAACAAAAAAAATGTCTTAAGACTGAAATTGTTTATGAAGCAATTATAATGAAGTTTTTTTAAGTTCTCCATTTAAAGAACAAATGCACATGTACATCTTCTTATCCTGTAGAAAAATCTGTGCAAGATTGTTTGAATACTTTTGACAGATTCCCAAAGAGTTGCGAATTAACAAAGTATGACACTGATGCAGTCTGCCCCAAAATCTTTCGCAACTACTAGTACGAAGACCAATATTCCAATATTTTTCTTAGGTGTCTAAACAAAGTTTTGCAAATACTTACTAGTCCAAATAACATTTGACTAACTAGTCTGGGGCATCGGACTAGTGGCTAACCTTGCAGACTGCTGATGGATGGATGGATGGCTGTTTAACATCCAGGGCAGGTTAAACGCATATTCAGAATGAGAACATGATTTTATGATATGAATATAAACCCTCCTTTGTATTAGACCGACATGCTGAGCCGGAATTTTTATATGCTAATTCACGAAGTAACAGTCCCCAGGAAGACTTGTCACCCATACCCAGACACATTATTCTGACTCCGAACAACACAATTGGACAGAAGTGATCTCTTGAAAATGCCTGTAGCAAGTCAGGAATAATCATATGACAGTTGTTTTCCTGTTGTTCTGTTGTTGATATAGTCAAGCATTTAGTTTTGTCAATTTTTATGGACTTCCCCCTTTTTGAATTTACCTTGGAGTTCATTAAAATTTGTTATTACTTTTTTGTCTCACCCCAGTTGGACACTGTCATGTGACACAATAATCAACCATGTTCCAGACAAATCAAGGATACTATATACATGCTTCATGTATCCATACAATATGTAAAGCTCTAAATTATCCAAGTCTAAAAACAGTTGTGAATAATTCAAAAAGAAACAATCAAAGATCTTCCAAGGTTCCTGATTTTGGACATGAATATGTGATGGGATTAAAATATCTTTTTAAGAGAATAAGAGGTAAAAATATAGAAAATATAATATTAGATGTATGTATCTTACCATTTAATTTTCTGTATGACAAATGTATTTGTGAATGAAGTAATTCCCTAGATTTTATTACTTTATTACTTTTATGTCAGTTTGTAAACAATTGTCCAGATGTTACCCTTTCTTAAATACATACCAGTAAACAGAATTTATATAATTAAAAAATCTATAACTTATGTCACTTTTTATATTAATATAATACCACATAAAATTTGATTAGTTTCAGCTTTTTAGCCCTAAAATTAAAATTCCTGTTTAACATCTCACTTGGCTTGTCAGTCAAACTATACCTCCCAAAAATACAATTACCATTACAACCATTCGAAGTCACAAACATCTTCCTTTTTTAAAAGTTCCTTACTTTCAGTTTAGGTTTCTACAGAAAACTGAACTTTGCCTTTTTGTTATCTCAAGGATAAAATGTAACAAAAACAAAAAACTTCCTGAAATGATATATCTAGATACAGCTCATGACAATAATTTGTGTGACCGAGCATTGAAGATTATTTCAAGAATAGATTATATCATAAGTTTATTACATGTACTTGCTTATACTAAACAAATGCTCTATTTACATATAAGCCCCTTATCATATAAGCCATATATGCATGTCATAATTGTGCAATTTGTGTTTAATAAGTGAAGACAAACATATGTGTTTCTTTGTTAAGATCATATAATAATGAATGTTATTTATGCATGATTTTTCTCTCGTTTGTTAAGATTATATTATAATGTATGCGATTTATGCATGATTGATAAGTACAAATGTAAATTCATACAGAAATCAGGAGGATTACATATGCAGATATTAAAATACAATTTTTTCATATAAGATTTGTTGTAGTAATACTTTTTTTGTATAGCAAATATCACCAAAAACATTGGACACACCAATCACCAACACCCTACTCCTCCACATAAACAAATAAAATGCTCCGCTGGGCGCAGCTTGATACTACCGCAGAGGTCGAACCCTGAACAGTTAGGGCAAGTATGGACACAACATTCAAGCTTGATACAGCTCTGAATTTGGATTGTGATTAAATATTTGACACAGCATAGGTTTCTGACACAGAATGAATGTGGTCTAAGAACTTAAAAATTTTTAATTTACCTATTATGGTCCAATATCCAAAATCTAAATACATACACGATTAGATTCAGCATATCAAAGAACCCCAAGAATTCAATTTTTGTTAAAATCAAACTAAGTTTAATTTTGGACCCTTTTGACCTTAATGTAGACCAATTTGAAAACGGGACCACAAATTAAGAATCTAAATACACGGTTAGATTCAGCATATCATAGAACCCCAATATTTCAATTTTTGATGAAATCAAACCATATCATTATTATTTGCTTTTATATATAAATCAAAAATAACCAACTTAAAATGGAAAATTAAAGAAAAAAAAAAAGATAAAAAAGGAAAAAAAAATCCCCCCCCCAATTTTTTGAACCCCCTTATGATTCATCACCCCCAAACTCAATCCCAGCCTTCCCTTTGTGATATGGTACCTTGCAGTACAATTTCAGAGAGATCCATACACTTGAACACAAGTTATTGTCTGGAAACTGTAAAAATGCTTGTTTTTTGGCCCCTTTTTGGCCTCAAATTCCTAAACGTTTAAGGCAATTACCCCCATACTCAAACCCAGCTTTCCCTTTGTAATATGGAACCTTGTAGTACAATTTCATAAAGATCTATACACTTTCACACAAGTTATTGTCCTGAAACTAGAAAAATGCTTGTTTTTTGCCCCTTTTTTTACCCCTAATTCCTAAAATTTTGAGGCAATTACCCCCAAAATCAATCCCAGCATTCCCTTTGTGATATGGAACCTTGTGGTACAATGTCAGAGAGATCCATACACTAACACACAAGTTATTGTCTGGAAGTTACAAAAATGCTTATTTTTGGCCCCTTTTTGGCCCTTAATTCCTTAACTGATGGTACCATAACCCCCAAAATCAATCCCAACCTTCCTTTTGTGGTATTGAACCTTATGGTCTTATGGTAAAATTTCATAGAGATCCATTCACTTAAACTAAAATTATTGTGCGAAAACCAATGTGTCTTCGGATGACGACGACGTCATACCAATATACGACTGCAAAAATTTTTTTGCGGTAGTATAAAAACAACCCCAAAACAGTGAAAATACAGAAGTCCAAAGACCAAAAAATTAACACGTTACTGTATCAGAAACAACACATGGTCCAGATAGCCTGACATGTTTGATTTAGAGTCGCTTCCTCTTGCATCATGTGAAATAATATTATGACTATCAAATTACTGATCGATGTTAGCATGGCCATGGATCTCAATGTACTCTATCTTGATCAACAGTTCAAGATGTTGTTTAAGAAATCAATTGTTTATAATCATCAATAACCTACCTTATATAGTTAATCAAAGAGCATGATTGCTCTGAGGGATATGATCGCCATTGTTTTCATTGATATTATAGTATTATTCAATCTGCATATCGTTTCTAACTTTTTTAAAATAGCCAATCTCTGATACAAGTGAATATTTATATGAACAATGTAATTATTGAGTTTTAAATTTGCTCTACATTTGCTTGATGATTGGAAATTCAAACCCTCTCTTTTTAAAAATACCAGAACACACCTGCCACAACGCGTGCTTGTGACTAAATTAAAGGATCTACACCTTATTTTCACTTTGGATATTTAGTATTCATATTTTCATTTGACAAAGTCATGCTGATTGTAAGGCGCACAGTTTTCTTTACTGTTAAAATCTTTTTGTTTGAACCCATCCTGCTTTTCTTACTACAACTGGAAACTACTTGTAGATATATTTTTGGGTCAAAGTGTCAATCCCTGTATAATGACAAAGTTCAGGTGTGATTTTGATCCCAAATACACCGTTTGGTGGTGCACCTGACAGTCGGAAAGTACAGATTATGCAACAGGTAACAGGTACTAATGGGATCGGTATCAGAATCGACCCAGGAACTTGTTAATTATTGGTTATTAATTAAGTGAAAAACAAAAGGGTCTGGAATGTCGTAATTTTCAATCAACACCATTGTCCTATATTAGTTAGATTTTGCGTGCAGTATGTCGATTGAGCATGCATGACAGTGTATTAGACACAGATCGATAACAGTCTCCTAAATTTTGATATTTTCTCAAAAATTGGCATTTTCTGCGGAAAACAAGTGTTTCAAAGACAAATTTAGGAAGAACATAACACTAGATTTATACGTGATATCACAAATATTTCCAATTGTATGGTTTCAGAGGATTTGGGGCTCAATGAAATCAGTCTCTTCCTTTAGTAGTATAGATTCCTTCTAAATGTTATCAATCCCACATACTAATTAAGTGTCAAAAATATACATTTGTACAAGCAAACAAAAGTCAAGCGGTTCTTTCTTTGGGTTTAGGATTCATATGGCCCAAAATGTTAAAATCCTAGATGTTTTACAAAATTGCACACATTTAAATGATGATCACGGGCAAGATTGTAAATTCTATCATGAATGAAAGCTTTTTGGAAAAAGGTATATCTCAATTTAACAAAAAAATCTAATGGATTAAACCAAACCCTGTTTTTATGTTCTTTAACTTTGTATTTGATTTGACTTTCTTACTGTTTTGATTCATGGGCCATTGATGAGTTTTATGTAGCATTTCTAGCGTGCCAAATTATAAGTTCCATACATTTTTGCACATGAGATTTTGCTACTCATGCTACTGTCCGTATGAAATAATCAACCTTTTTCTTCTGATGCATTTCTTGATTATGTGCACTGTTCATTACATTAAACATGTTTAAGGAAATTTTGATGACTGAGATATAAATACTAGCTATATATAGCTATTCATTGATGTCTTGTTAAAAAAAAAAAGCTAATCATTGATGTCTAAATGACTGGATTATTCGGGATGCCCTGTATGACATTATGGCACTTACTGCAAACAAAACATTCTTGTTGAAAACCATCATGCAGTTCAACACCACCGTAAATTGACTTCAAAATTTCTACTAGTTATATCGGTTTCACCATGAATCTTCTGAATATTTCGTCTGCATTCCTTCGCTTAAGGCAGATTCCAAATAAGAAAGTTGAAAAATTCCCAAAATTATGTTTAACAAAATCAACACCAATAAGGTTCTGTTTTGGAATACATGTTATACTTATATAAGTAAGCACTTTTTGACAAAAAATAGATCTATTCACATTATATTTTTTAAATAACAGACACCTTAAAAAAATGTTGCTATCATAACAAAATTGACAGACATTTTGAAGGAAAATTCTTATGTAAGCAACACAAACAATCCTGATATCTTCAGTATTTTCAAGGTTTGGATGTATATCTTGCTTAAATATGAAAGGCAAATTGGAATAAAATATTTCTTAACATCTGCACCAATAAAAAAGGAATTGTAATAACTTTAAAAAAGGATTTTCTTGGAGTTGCTAACATAAGATTTGACAGACATGAACAATGCTGCTAACATAATGTTTGACAGAAATGAAGTTGTTGCTAACATAAGATTTGACAGACTTTTTTATTGCTAACATAATATTTGACCGACTTTTTTGTTGCTAACATAATATTTGACGGACTTTTTTGTTGCTAACATGAGATTTGATGGACATTATTGTTGCTAACATAAGATTTAACAGATTAAATAGTGTTGCTAACATAAGATATTGACGGACTTGTTGCTAACATAAGATTGTGCTAACATAAATAAATTTGACGGACAATATATATTTGAGATTTTTAACTAACATTGGAGATCTTATCCTAGTTGAAAGTCATATTTAGAACTCCTGCAAAATAACGCCGCCTGACATTTAACAAGATTTCAACCCAGGACAGATAACTCTTAATTTGTAGCACATCCAAACGTTGCTAACATAAGATGACAAGTTTGACAGAACTTATGTTAGCAACAGATTTGATAAAACTATTGATTGAATAAAGTAAATTAAAAGATCAAAAATGTGTTTGCTTAATGTACATTATGAAATACAATTTTAACAGGCTTATATAAGTACCTACAATGATGTGGCAAGATTTTATGAACATGTTGCTATCATAACATTTATTGACAGACGAGCATCTAATAGGCAAGGTATTTGAAATTGAAAAAAATATATATAACAGATGTTTTTAACAAAAGAAAAGCAAAAGATTTGAAACAGGGATGTTTGAATAATAAGACTACACTAACAAAAACCATTATACCAGTGTCAATCTAAAGCATTGTAACACATAAACCTTGTGTCAAAAAATGGGAAGTAATTTCCGTCAAACATTTCACATTTTTCAACTTGTTTTGATTATTTCTACTTTTAACGGAAACAATCATATCCAATAATTGGTTTTCTTGCTTTATTTAACATTACTATTCAATAAAACATTCACATATTATCATTCAAATAACAGTTACTTAGTATTATTTTTATTACTTTGTTCTTTTTGACGGAAATTTTCTTTTCTTTATGGAATCTGCCTTAATTCTTCTGTTCAAACACGTGTGTACATTGAAAACACGTTTCCTGCTCCATTGCACATGTTTACAAACAATTTTAAACTCCTCCTTTTTTCGCGCCATACGTCAGGATATATTAATCCCATGATGCAGCTTGTTTTTAATTTCTGGTTGGCAGGCGTTAATGGAGTGATAGAAGTGATCGTAATATGACGACTGGATTATTCGGGTTACGGAATTCCCTCTCTGACGTGATTCTAAATATATAAAACCCTAAATATAAATACTGCTTAATTCTGATTTTCAGTATTGGAAAATAAACGCAAATGAAAAAGGGAGATATCAAAACAGGAGGATTATGAGAAGAAATTTAACAGAATGTTGTTTAAATTCAATCTCTTTGTTTGTTTTTACTTTTTATAACATGACAATCTTAAGAATCTGAGTTGTTCCTATTAATGTAAACACATAACGGTTGACGTGAGAGTCTTGGAAGGGAATCAATGGTAAAAGTCTACAGATTGCCTGACGGCACTCGTATCCCAAAAAGTAAATTGATTAAATGGCTTTTTATGTTCTACTATTTATGAATTTTAATGGTTTTCCTAAATTACTGAAGCAAAAATATTTACATAAATGACGTACCTTCAAATTTATTACACAAAAACATAACAAAATATTTCTAAATATGATGACTTTGGTATCATCATGCCCATGAGACTTACTTTATCTTCAGTAACAGGAAACATGAGATTTAATTCTATGGCTAAATCATCTACAGGATCAGCTTATACAATTACTTTACCATTTAATTTAACAGCCACAAACGTAAATACACAAGGTTCAATAAGTCTGATTTATCTTTAAAAAATATCTAAACAGCTTAAAATGACAACGTCAATAATATCAAATCAATTATATATCACTTAGACAGTATAAATCTACAATCAATACATTATACAGATAAAGTTAACATTTGTTACCGCATACTTATATCTAGGTGAAGATATGTATATATCTTAACTTTATCCATCTTTTAATCGCAAGGATAATTTAATGTATGATTTGGGACCAATTTGGCCCAAAATTTAAATGTATTTTATACTGTCGCTCATTTAATTCCTAAACATAAAGTGTAAAGACCTAGGGTATTTTGATTTTAAATTCTTGGACCATGTCTTGGCTGAATTTGTAATGAATAGAGAAAAAGAACAGATTCAAAATGTTTGGAACTCTGAGATACCAATTATGAACAATTGTTTGAAGTCTAATCAAGAGATTTTTTATGAATTATTCCCCCTGAAATATTTATATCAAATAATAACTTTGGTATCTAATAAAGTCTTTGGATCTAAAAATGTATTTTGAATATGATTGGAGACTTGTAACATTGAGAATCAAAGAGTATGGATTTTATAGAAAAGCGCTTAGAAATAAATAAATGATCATGATAAAAGTAATTGATATTTTTCCTGATCTTATATTCTTGATCATGTTTGCAGTAGTATACAGCTTCTATCTATTCAAAATATGTATTGCTGATCATTATGGGTGTTTGCAGTTTCTGTCTTAATATTATATTAAACTTTTCAAAGAAAATAACAAAAAATTTTGAAATGTTTTTAAAAAAAAATCATTACGACAGCATTTATATAGATTATGCATTGTTGATCATATTTGCTGTTAACAGTTCTGCTTTTCTATTATAGTTTTTGAGATAATAGGCAAAACATGAAACTTTATCAAGAATTGTCATTAAAGGGCAATTACTCCTAATAGGAGTCATCTAATAATTTTGGTGGAATAGAAAGTAGGAAGATTTGGACATTTTAACATGTTTGCCCTATTTTCTTTATGTCAACTGATTATAAACAGGAACAAACAAAAAAACACAAATTTAATAAATTGTATCATATACTCAAAAGATTATTCAGTAAAACTTTGGTTGAAATATGTTTCAGAGAAGAAAATTACAAAAAAAAAATTGATGACAACAGATGACAAATAACGTCAAGTGATGTGAAATTGGAAATAGCTCACATGGCCCATGGTGCCAGCAGTAATAATAAAGTTGAAAAAACTGTTGTATCCGTATCGTGCACTCCTTTAAAACATATTTAAACAGGGTTGTTATACTATCTTTCTGTACAGTTAATTAACTACATTGTGAAAAATTATTAATTTGTTAAAAAAAGTAAATGCAGTACACAACATTTTTAACAAATTAATTTGATTATATGTAAGATAATTTTAAATTGCTTTGTTATCTGCATATAATACATTGGAAGTTTAAATATTATTTGTTCTTTTTTCATTTATAAGAAATGTTATACTGATTCAACACAGCTACAAGACATAAACAGACAAAGTAGAATCATTTGTGCAATATAATGGCATATTCTCAATCCGCTAATAAAAGTCAAATTCATGTACCTACAAATTGTCATCTATGCGATACGAAGCACATCAAGTGGAAATGCATAGATTGCGAACTTCTTATGTGTGATAAATGTAAAGAAGAAAGACATTTTAGAATTAAAAATGCACAGGACCATAAGGTCATAAATATCAAAGATGGTCTACGCAATGAAGAATTGGATTTTACAAATATTCAATGTACAGACCATACTTCAAAATCTTGCTGTCTTTTTTGCAAGAGATGTGACAGTCTAGTTTGTCCCACTTGTGTGTCTGAAGTTCATATTAATCATGTAAATGATCTAATTGAGATCAGGAATGCATATAATATAAAAATAGATAGGCTGAAACAAGGACAAAGTAAAATTAAAATGGAAAAAGAGAAAGCCATCACCAGAAAAAAACATTTGGAACAGCATAAGAATGCTGAAAATGTGAAGCACAGCAAAGTTATTCAGAATATTTTGAATCATGGGAATATGTTGAAAAGGACTATTGACAAATATATCCAAAAACTAAAAAATGAAATTGATGAAAATCTGAAGACTGTTTTGAAATCAATTGACACCGACATACACACAGTATCTAAATCCATGAGACATGATAATGAGAAATACAATGAAGTTGGTAACTTTCTCAAAACCAAAGACATTGCAAAGTTTTTTTCCAACATCAGGAGAATTGAAAATTCAATTGAAGTCAAAGCACCGAAATCACAATCTTCATACAATTCTACACCTATTTTTTTCCCAGGGGAGATAAATCAATCTAATGTTGGGGTGTTACAAATGCCAGAGAAATTAAGTGTTGCATTTGATATCATTCAAGAGTATCAGACAAAACTTTCTGCAGTATCTGATATTATTTCATATGTTGACGATTCTCTTTGGATTAATTCTGCTTTAGACAACTGTGTTGTAAAAGCAGAACCTAAAGGGAAACAACTCAATGTAGTTTCTACCTTGAACTTGGCAGTCTATGGAATAGCAATATCACCATCTAATAACCTTCTTCTGTCTGTTGGCAAATCAAGACTACAACAACTTTGCATTTCCACCGGTAAACTTTCAGACACTGTATATAAAGTGAAACCTTTAGCTTCTACAATTATCCATATTACCAGTAGTAATAAAGTTATAGTGGGAGGTGTTAATGAGAAACTAGGAAGAAGAGCCGTGTTTGTAATGAATGAAAAGGGAGACCATGAAACCGTTTATGAATATGATCAACATAATCAACCTATATTTACATACCCGAGGAGTATAACCAGTACCGGTACTGGAAATATCCATGTGGTGGACCGTGAACCAGGCCAAGAAGGTAGAGTGGTAGTGTTGGCACCAGGAAGTGATATAATTAATTCATACATAGGCCATCCAAAAATCAACAAACTCAAATCATTTAAACCAAATAGAATAGTGACAACACAAAGAGACAATGTCATGGTGACTGAAATGAATACGAACACCATACACATCCTAGACAGTATGGGAAACCTTGTGTCATGGTACAACACTACAGACATAGGAATACTAAATCCAGTTTCCCTTTCGTTCACTCAAACAGGACAAATCCACATAGGATGTGGTGCAAAAGAAGGTCATACAGCCAAAGAAGCCAAAATGTATAAAGTGATTATATCTGGATGTTAAAAAAATTGACCCTCGTATTATTTTTTGAGACCTTTTATGTATCCAATATATTATTAAAGACTAATAACTTGAGTCTCTGCTTCATATAAATAACTCTTTTCAATTTGTCCTTCTCATGTATTTTACTATTTAAATTTATAAACAGAAATGTAATTTAAAAATCATGTCAGTAACGAGGCACTGACTCCTGGGCTAATGATACTTGAACCCTTTGGGACAAACAGTCCATCAGCAGTTAAACCCAGTGCTAGCAAATAGAAATCCCTAACACTTACATAGATTTGGTGTGTATGAAGCCCTTTTGTTTGGTCTAACCTTCATCAGGAACACTCGAAACCAGAAATTTGAAAGCAAAGTATTTATAAATACCTAAGGAGCAATATGAAAAAGGGGGTCCTTAATAGAATAGCCACAACCATCCACAATTGAGAATAAAACACAATCATTAAATTTAAGAGCTGGCTGGGGATTAATAACACAACACTCAAGGAATGTAAGTTGGTAATTTCACCTTCTAGTTGGGTATAATGACGTATATAAATGTACGTGTCAATGACACTCAATATAACTGAAAGTAAGGAAGATTGCCAGGATTGACAGCCCTTATACAAATACCAAACTTGTGTACACATTCTATATAGTTCCAGGGAAGATCATCCCCCCCCCCTTTTCAGTTTCATTCACAAATGCATTTAGCATTATAATAATGATAAAAATAATAAATTCTTAATTTAAAGAGGGTAAACACAGTTAGTTACAACAAACTAATTATCTTCCCTGAGTTCCTCACATACAAATTTAAATTACATTATAATCACAAAACAGATATTTACAAATAGTTAATTTACAATCATATAATTCAATGTATCATAATATAATGATTATAAAAGATAAAACAGTTACAGAGGTACATATAGTAAAAAATACAAAAAATAAAAATAATACATTGTAAAAAAAACAGTAACTTATCAGGATTGTATCAATTAGTTCTTGATACTTTGTTTAAAAATAATAAATGGGGAATGTGTTCATGGGACACAGATGATGCCCCTGCTTGCATATCATATAAAGTTATAAAGGGACATAACTGAAGAACCGTAAAAGTGATGCTACCCAAATTTGTACTTGATCTGAGTTTTGTGGTAATAAGTATTGTGTATAATTCTCATAACATTTGGTTGAGGCTAACTTAAGTTAGAGAACAGAAACGAAAAATTCAGCAATTTTTCCATTTGTAAACAGGCATAACTCTAGATCAATAAAAGTGACACCACCCAATTTCAAACTTGATCTGTATTTTGTGGTAATAAGCATTGTGTATACGTTTCATAACATTTGGTTGAGGCAAACTAAAGTAAGAGAACAGAAACCAACTTTGGGATGGACGGACTGACGTACGGACGTACAAGGGTAAAACTTAATGTCCCCTCCACTACGCACGGGGCATAAAAAGTGTTTTGGACTTAAAGCATTTTGTATGGTAATATTATAGATATAAAGATACTTATTTTTCTACAAGTTGGGCTCATGTTGACCTTATATATTATCTTGGATGATTAATTATCTTTGACTCTTAAGTGAAAACAGACTTAAATATATGTTTATATATAAATAAAACAAACATTTTCTTCAGTTACACATATTTGCACAGAAATATCAATAATTCCTGTTAAGGATGAAAACACTATATGCTATTTATTTTTCCTATGTGAATGACTCTGAAATTACGATTTGTATATTACTGTAAGTATTATTTTATAAATATTTTTAAGTAAAATGGTTGTATAGATAAATTAAATTTATAAAGCAATGGCAGTTGTACAAATTTTAGTTTTTTGACATAACTTGATGGATATAGCTTACTTTTTGAATAACTCATTTGGGGCGTAGCTGGTTGCACGCCAGTAAGGGGGGATTTTGGGGGCTTGCCCCCCAAAGATTTTTTTTTTACTAGACGCAAGATGGTGCATTCTGAGGGCCCAAAATTGGTTTGAAAAGCAAATTATTAAGACTATATTTGGTCATTTTTTATTGAGAAACATCAGCAATTTTCAAAAATCTGCCCTCTGTTTTTTTAGCTGCAACAAAAACGTCCATGGCCTTGTCTAAATTGACCTGAAAATCACGGTGGATGTTCATTAAACCTAAAGACGACAATCTGTCATTTCTCATTGTGGAACGGATGTACGTTTTCAAACGTTTCAGTACGCTAAACGACCTTTACGCGGTAGCACTAGCAACGGGCATTGTTAAGAAAACATACAGTATTGTATCTTTAGACAGATACAATGCGGGATTAACGATATCAAGCATTTGACACAGTGTTGTTGGCACTTTATCACTAGGTAGGATTGGACAGTGAGCTCGCCAGCTTTCAACCTCTCTCTTGAAGTCTTCCAAAGATATACCGATTATATCCATCTGGTATGTCTGATGAATTGTGACAATTTGGTCATTTGTAATTTGTTCAACTACATGCGGAAGAAGATATTGTGCATGGAAACGGTTTTTGGATTTCAGAAGTCGAGAATCAAGTTCCATGATTATATGATCTAGGAACAGATAGTATAGAGAAACGCCCCAGTAATGTTTAGGTGTTTCGGTTGGATGGTTAGCTCTTGAGGTTTGTCATCCACACCGCCTAGGAAGACTCTCAACAATATCAAAAGGCTCTGCTATATCTAAAGCGGTTTGGTACAGCTCATTCCAAACAATATCATCATTTCGCTCGGAATGCAACATTTCTATGACGGTTTTCCATTCCTTGACAGCCTCGAGAAGGTCGCATTCAACACCTTAGAGAAAAGTTGATTAACGAACTGTACTCTGTAGTACATGCTCTGATACTACTAATGCAATTACAAACTGAAACCTAGCGACATTTTCTAATTTGCCAGGTTTAAATTTTACGTTTTTTACTCGTTTGTTTTTTTTAATTTTCCAGCGTCAATTATTTTTTTAAACTCTGCGATGTGAACGCCATGGCGTGACAGTGTATATGGAGCTACGCCACAGCTCATGTAGTTTGTAAATAGAGTATTTCAGTATCAAACTGGTAACAAACCTTTTCTTTAAATTAGATAGACAGGCTTACCCAAGTCCAATATTTTTTTGAAATTTCAGGTCGCCAAATTTCGTATAGTTTCTAGATTTATTTTTATACTCTCCGAAGTGAAGGATCTCGAGAAATATTCTGAAATATTTTAAACAAAAATTGGGTCATTAAGACTTCAGATGGAATTGGAACTTATTTCATTATTACTTTGAATATTTTGGGAATAATTTTGCACCAAAGAGCACAGAAAAGGTAAGAGAAACCCCAAAACAACTGAAAACTAGTTCAAGACCAGATTGATTGATTGGTGTTTAACGCCACTTTCAGCACTGTTGTGCTGTTCAGTGGTGGTCAGTTTTTATTTGTGGAGGAAGCCAGAGTGCCCGGAGAGAATCACGGACCTTTGGTAGGAAAAGCTCAAGACCAGAGAACAAGTGTTTACTTACCAAAAACAATATTTAATGTGGCCTAATAAAGCCAATTTATATATAGAAGAACCTCCTCATGGGGTTTTTGATTATGTAATTACTTGGCCTTTTTTATATACTGATTATATGATTACCAGTCCAAATATTTCATGATTATTTGATTATTCAATAATCTACATGTAGGACTGTAATATAATATAATTTGATTATCTTGTTTAAAAAATAATTAAAGATTATGTGATTATATTGGCAAAAAATTTGTGATTATGTGATTACTTGGACACCCCCATGAGGGGCCTCATACAAACATTTCTAGCCAATGTGAAAATTTCATGCTTAAATTGGGTATCAAAGTTGAGATCAAAATTTGCTCTCAAAGTCCAGCTGAAAAAAGGCTTTGGCGTTATGATGTCGTAGGAAAGCATCATTCAAAAAAATAGAAATAGCCTTTCGCTTTCAAGAAGTCATAACTATATGGGCTACCATGAATGCATATTAAAAAGCAGGGACATGAAACTAGAATGTATCATTTACAGTATTTATACTAGTATAATAATGACACATATAAATGTAAAGGTTTTAACTTTTAAAAGGTATAAATATAGTTGCATTATCTATATTGTGAACTTCAGATAAAGTTAAATTATCAAAATAAAAAAAGGTCATGTTTACAGTAATACACAATTTTAAAATTTATCTGTAACGTCAGTATTAGAAAAAAAAATAGAATACAGTAGACATTAATTATGGCTTTTTCTAAATCTATCTGGAAAGGACAAACTCCAATCAACTGTCAGCTGTGTGAAACTGAGAAAGTTATTAAATGGAAATGTATCCAATGCAGTCTTTTGATGTGCAATAACTGCTGTGATAAAATACATCCAAAGTTTAGAAATGCCAAGGAACATAAAATTATCAATATAAATGACCTGGGAGCTCACCAAGAAGAACTGGATTTTACCAACATAAAATGTGAGGCTCATTCTGGACAACCAAGTTGTCTTTTTTGCAGGACTTGCGACATTCTAGTTTGCCCAACATGTGTGTCCAAAGTTCATAAGAAACATGACTTGATTGAAATAAGAGAAGCTTTCAATATAAAAATGGAAAGACTGAAGGAATGTCAAAGTGAAATACAAAAGGATAAAAAGTACATGGTCATGAAAAAACATTATTTAGATAAACTTATAGTTGCTGAAAATTCAAAGCACACAAAAGTGAGACAAGATATTCTTACCCATGGGAAAGCTTTACACAAGGCAGTTGATATCTATATTGAAAAGCTCGGAAATGATTTGGATCAAGCTAAGAAGGGTATTCTATCTATTGAACAGGACCTCAAAACCATCATCAGTTTCATTTTTGAAGTAGAATACAAAAAAGATGAAATAGAAGATCTTATAAACACTAGCAACACTTCAAAGTTCTTTACAGAAATACAAAGGATTGAAAAATCCATGGAAAAGCTGTCACCAAATACAAAACAAAGATACCTTTCTGTTCCAATATTTAATCCAGGGGAGATCACTCAGTCCAATGTTGGAGTGTTACAAAGTGAAGTGAAACCATCTGCTGAATTGGGTGTTGCC